GAGGCAGTTTAGTGGATAGAAAGAGTACTTCAGGAAGTATTCAGTTCTTAGGACCTGCTCTAGTTTCATGGCTCAGCAAAAAGCAGGGTGCAGTTGCACTATCAACAGCTGAAGCAGAATACCTCGCAGCTGGAAGCTGCTGTGCCCAAATTATGTGGATGAAAACTCAACTAGCTGACTATGGTTTTAAACTTCAAAACATTCCAATCTGGTGTGACAATACTAGTGCGATCTGTATGACAAAAAACCCAGTACAACACTCTAGGACTAAGCACATAGATGTAAAATACCATTTCATAAGAGACCTAGTTATGGCAGGACATGTTTGCTTGCAATTCATACCTACTGAACAACAGCTGGCCGACCTATTTACAAAACCTTTATCTTGCGAGAGGTTTACTCAACTTTGTACTGAGCTAGGGCTGAAATCTTTTAATCAAATCAAGGATCTATAAAATAACCACGCCATTGGAGGGTTACAATCTAGGCATCCTGTTTATCTTGATTCACTTAACAAAATCTTGCTTTTTCGGCTCATGCGTATTCTTTTTCCTTTTCCTGTAATGATTACCCTTGGATAAGGGAAACGGACTCTTCGACTTCCTACTCCTTCCCGCTCCTCTTCAGCCCCTTAGTCTATTTAAGGTCATCCTTCTGATCACTATTCCTCACACTGCTCTCATAAAACACAAAACACAACTAGCAAAACCAAAAATGAGCGATCAATTACCTCGTCCTTTTCGTTTTGATGGGTTGGTCCATACTTATCCAGGCTATATGTTCCACGAGCCTGTGGTAATAAACCACCATCGTCATTTGCAACATTTTGAGAGTAGGAGGTTGCACCACAATATCCAGATCGATCCCTATGAGTTCAACTTCTATAGGTACGACATCATGTCCCTTATAGAAGCACTAGGATGGGACTTTCTTCTTCAACAGCCGCTTCACCCTGCCTGTCCTGGTGCAGTCAAATATTTCTACTCCAATCTTCGCTGCCAAGGAGTCAGTACCAGAAGCTTCTCCACTGTCATCTATGGTCATCTCCTGACCATCCCAGTGGGAGCTCTAAATGGGATCCTTGGGTTCCCATCTCAAGGAATCGACATAGCTCACCCATCAGAATTCTGGAAACAGAATTTTATCCTACCCACTGAATACTCAAACTTCTCCACCGAACCTACAGGAGGGACAGACGTGCCGATTCCCATCAACTGGCTGACGCCCCGTTTGAGAATCTTCCATCACTTCATCACTCATGTTTTCTTCCCAAGAACCTACAATCTTGATGTAGTTCTGCCACTCGACTTGTGGATCATTGCCAGTGCCACTGCTGGTAGAAAACTGGACTACTCCAGTCTAATGTTTGGAAACCTTCTGCCAGTTGGAGACGAGCATTATCAAGGATTAATGCCTTTCGGATCGATCATAACTCGAATGCTCATTAACCTAGGTATTGACCTATCTGATCACCGCAGTGTATCACATACCATGTATGTGGGTGCACTGAATGTGCTAATGGTCCTGGATCTCCCCACAGACTCTGCTCCACCTCCACCACTTCCTTCAAATTCCATTCTTGGTGCTCGACCAAAATCTGCTGAGAGCAACAAAGGAAAGTCAGTCATTGGAGAGTCCAGCAAAAATGCCAACCTTGTATTCAATATATCTGATGGGAACTCTTCCTCAGATGAAGAAGCTGCTTCAGACCCCGAAAACCCAACTTCTCCAGTCTCTTAAATCTTCCATGCTGTTTCTAAGGGGGAATCCCCCATCTTGTCTTAGGTTCTCTTAGCAGTAGTTTTAGCTTTGTAGTGCTCTTAGTTGCTCGCCTAGTTAGATGTATGCTCTTTCCCAGGGGGAAGTATTTTAGGAGTTTTTTTTCTTAGTCTCTCTATTTTGTAAACCCCCTGTTTATTTCGGATCAATTAATGCAAGTCTTTATTTCTTTTCGAGTGCTGCTCTGTGTTGTGTGCTATGTTTTGCAGAGAATGTTGGACTTGTCGGACGAAGGGGGAAATTGATGCAAGCAAGAAGGATACCGTACGTGTCAAGCTAGCTAAACGGTGACGTTTCTACTTCTGCTGACCAGCCTTACAACACGTCGTCGTCTTGACATCAACGGACAAAAGCAGACGAGTCGTCCTTCCAAGTCTTCGACTGAAAGCTTCGAGATGATCAAAACCTAGCCACCCACCTATACTCTTCCAGGAGCGGAGCATAGCAAGCCATATCTGGCAAATCGATTTCCTCAAGAAATCGATCTTCAGAAGGAACATACTCAACCTCCAGAGAGTCAATTTCCAGAGGAGCGTCTTCAACCAAGCCAACGGTCATCTTCTTCCTTCCAATATAAATAGGTCTGTTCTTTCTTAATTAGAACTTGACTGAGTGATTAGAAGAAAATAGCAGAGAGCATATTTGTCTTCCTTGAGTCCACTTTGTAATCTCTTCAAGCAACTTAATTCACAGTGCGTGGTGCTGGGTGAATTAGGTTTAGGAAGAGAGGTTTCTTCGAGTTTGTTTTCTGTCAAAGGGCCAACGTTGTTTGGCGTAGCCTACGGGCTCGGTGTATTTCTTTTACTCTTTGTAGTTCTTCTCTTTTAATCAATATAATTTCCTATTCACAAAGTGTCTAAGAGAAAGAGAGATTGAGTAAAGTGTGAATTTGAGAGGATTTCTCCAATTCAGGTTTCTTCACCTTGCTAGACCAATTGCAGCAGTCAACGTGGCGGGTTTACAAGCTTGGACGTCGATCCGAAGAGACTCACGTAAACCGCTAATGAAACAGCTAACCTGCTGAGCTGGCGTAAGATTTCCAGCACGAACTAGCAACCTCTCAAACTGTGTTTGATAATCTCGAACAGTTCCATCTTGTTGCAGCTTGGTCAGGTCTCCAAAGAAGTCTTCGAATTGGGTTGGCCCAAATCGAATATGCATCTCTCTTGAACTCCTCCCATGTGAGCTCTTGTCCTCCTTCTTTAAGGACTTGCAACCACAGCTGCGCCTCCCCCTCCAGATTAATTGAAGCCACCATGACCTTCTCTTCGTCAGGAGTTTGACAATAGGTAAAAAATTGTTCAGCCCGGCAAACCCAAATGGTGGGATCTTCATCCCCATTGAATTTGGGAAATTCAATCTTCATCCTCGGCGCTTGCGGCTGATTCCTTTGGTTGACTCGTGGCCCTTCATTGGCCCTAGGAGCAGCCTGGCCGATCTGATCGAAACGAGCATTCATTGCTGCAAAACTTTCTTGCATCTCCCGCAGCACTGTCGCTTGTGTCGTCATTAGATCCCTGAAGTCAGCTTCGAGTCGGGCAACACGCTCTTCCATGGTTGCAGCGGTGGGTTTTGGCTCTGATACCAAAATGTTGTGTTACTTTGCGTAGTTTCTCGTAACAGAACGATCAACTCCGGGCCAGGGGCTTGGTAATGGCAACAGCCCCTTGTCTCGTTTGGGAGCTATGGTTCTGGTGGAACTAGAATAGGGTAAATGGGAAAGATATTGATGATGGCGGTGGTGTTGGGGTTTTGTAGAGAAGTAAGAATAAGGAAGTGGGGGGTTGGTGATTAAGAAAGAAAGGGATTCAAGAGAAGGGATGAGACGAACAGAGAGATAGAAGGAGAAGGGGGAACAGAGAGATAGAAGGAGAAGGGGAAAAGAAAGAGGGATAATAGGCTCAAAGCCTCCAAGGTTTCTTAATAATCTTATTCCATAATCCAACTAAAATAATCTTGCACTTAAATAACCAAACAAAGCCTAACTACTCTCCTAATCCTACTCCACGTTCAGGAGAGTGGAACCATGTAGGGATGGCAATGGGTAGGGTCGGGTGCGGGTTTACCCTATACCAACTCCTAACCCGCCGGGTAGAGCCTTCTAAAATACCCAGCCAAATAACCACCGGGTATGAAAATTATATAACCATACCCTACCCACCGGGTAACCACGGGTATTTGGGTAACCATGGGTACGAATGTTAAACTATGAACTTATATACATATATGCACACACATATTGTTGTCCATTAAAAATTCTCAATACTTGTAACTGTTCTAGCTTCAACAATCCACACAAATAAAAATAGCAAACACATAATAATTGTTCTTGCTTCTACAATCCACACAAACATAATAATTGTCTACATCGACGAAGGAGATTAGAAAGGAGACACTAAATATATACAAGATACTTCTTACTTCTCCTTTAAGAGTTGGTGGCAATCTTGCATGAGGAGCTGGGCAAGGCTCGGAATGGAGGAGTTTTCTTTTGGTTGGGTGAAAACTTATACAAGTTTTTATAGAAGTGTATTATTTATTTATGGGAAAAGAAATGGTCAAGGGAATGAGGATTTAGGGGTTTTGGTGTTAATTGTAGAGGGCGGATAATTTTAGCAAAAAAAAAAAAAACTGTTATGGTTGCATTAGTTCACAAAGGTGTTTCATTTTATGTTTAAACCGATGCATGGGTGTATTTATATGTCTTGGCGTGAATGCATGCAAATATATGTTCTTCCTAGGATTTTGAGTAAATGAAAAGGCTCTAAGAACCGTGGGTTAGCAAAGAGGAGAAGCATTTCACGATGTGTGCATACATGTATAATTGTGGCCATGAATTAAGATGAAAGGGGATTTGTTTATGCTTAAAGAATTGAGAGTAGGTAGGATCAAGATCGATAATAGTAGCTAAACTCAATTTCTCAAGCTAATTAAACTAAATTTTTCAAGGGAAATTGACCATTTGGTTAGCGGGGCGGGTATAACGGGGCGGGTATTATCGATTACCATACCCGTACCCTACCCTTTATTTTGAAACCGGGTATTACCCGTACTCGCCCCTTAACCCGTCAAAGCGGGTAATTACCCTCGTTGACCGGTTACGGTCGGGTAGGGTACCCATGGTTACGGGTTGGATTGACATCCCTAGAACCATGGCCATAACCAACCACTAACAATATTTCAAATTGAAAATTAAAAACAATAAAAAAGGCACGTGACACCTTACTAGAACAATCCCCTGCAGCCGAGAAAGCTTAGTTTACATCCATTCCAGTGCAATAAAATGGCAGGCCAACAAAAGTAACAAAGAGATCGAAGGAGGGAATCGTCATTATTCAAAGAAAAGCAAAACCAGCAGACATCATAGTTCGAAGGCCATCACCATGGCCAAACATTGTACTGGAAAACAGGAACAGAACATAATCCTTGGATCCAACCAATCCATCGAAACCAGAATACTTAAAACAGTCTAGAAATCTCAACCATCAAGACACCAGATAGAGCAAGCACCCTTAGAAGCCACCGCGGAGACGAAGGACAAGGTGGAGGGTAGACTCCTTCTGGATATTGTAATCCGCCAGGGTCCTTCCATCTTCCAACTGCTTCCCTGCAAAGATCAGCCTCTGCTGGTCCGGTGGGATGCCTTCCTTGTCCTGGATCTTGGCCTTGACATTGTCGATGGTATCGCTGCTCTCCACCTCCAGGGTGATAGTCTTCCCAGTGAGGGTCTTGACAAAGATCTGCATGCCTCCCCTCAATCGCAGGACAAGATGAAGGGTAGATTCCTTCTGAATATTGTAATCAGCAAGAGTCCTCCCATCTTCCAACTGCTTCCCTGCAAAGATCAGCCTCTGCTGATCTGGGGGAATGCCTTCCTTGTCCTGGATCTTAGCCTTGACATTGTCGATGGTATCGCTGCTCTCCACCTCCAGGGTGATAGTCTTCCCAGTCAAAGTCTTCACAAAGATCTGCATACCTCCCCTCAGACGGAGGACCAGATGGAGAGTGGACTCCTTCTGAATGTTGTAATCAGCTAAAGTCCTCCCATCCTCAAGCTGTTTTCCAGCGAAGATCAGCCTCTGCTGATCTGGAGGAATCCCTTCCTTGTCCTGGATCTTTGCCTTGACATTGTCGATGGTATCACTGCTCTCCACCTCCAGGGTAATGGTTTTCCCAGTCAATGTCTTGACAAAAATCTGCATACCACCCCTGAGACGGAGAACAAGGTGAAGGGTTGACTCCTTTTGGATGTTGTAATCAGCCAAAGTCCTCCCATCCTCAAGCTGCTTTCCAGCAAAGATCAACCTCTGCTGATCTGGGGGAATCCCTTCCTTGTCCTGGATCTTTGCCTTGACATTGTCAATGGTGTCGCTGCTCTCGACCTCCAAAGTAATTGTCTTGCCAGTCAAGGTCTTCACGAAGATCTGCATACCTCCCCTGAGACGGAGAACCAGGTGAAGGGTCGACTCTTTTTGGATGTTGTAGTCGGCCAAGGTCCTTCCATCCTCAAGCTGTTTGCCGGCAAAAATCAGCCTCTGCTGATCTGGGGGAATACCTTCCTTGTCCTGGATCTTCGCTTTGACATTGTCAATGGTGTCACTGCTCTCAACCTCGAGAGTGATAGTCTTTCCAGTCAAGGTTTTCACAAAGATCTGCATACCTCCCCTGAGACGGAGAACCAGGTGAAGGGTCGACTCCTTTTGGATGTTGTAGTCGGCCAAAGTCCTCCCGTCCTCGAGCTGTTTTCCGGCAAAGATCAGCCTCTGCTGATCTGGGGGAATACCTTCCTTGTCCTGGATCTTCGCCTTGACATTGTCGATGGTGTCGCTGCTCTCAACCTCGAGGGTGATCGTCTTTCCAGTCAAGGTCTTCACAAAGATCTGCATCTGTAAAATAATCGCAACCAAGGAAAACCAAGCCAACAACCATGATCAGAATCCAACCAGATTAACGAACCATAGGGTACAAATAAAAATCCCAGCCTAGCCCCCGACCTAACACTGGGAGATCAAAAGATTCAAACATGGCAATGGCAACAGACATAGCAAGATCAAACGAACCAAAGTTCACAGAATAACAAAACCCAATTCCCAGAACAGATATTCATTCCAGAGATTAATACAGCGCAAATCATAACACAAACTATAATCAGATCACTGAAGCCATAGCAGCGAAAAATTGCAGTCTCCCATTCAAACATCGAAGGCCTGATTAAATTCCCAGAGCCAAGAAACCCCCCATAGGCAATCGAAGTTACAGAACAACGAACCCTAATTCCCATGACCGAAATTCAATCCAGAAATCAAACAGCGCAAATCACAATCGAAATCTAACCAGATCACTGAAACCCTAGCTACAAAAAAACTCCTGCTTCCGATTCAACATCGGGAGATATCAAAGATTCAAGCATGGCAATCGAATTAACAAGAGCGAGGGAACCCCAATTCCCAGAGCCAAGAAAATCCGATTCGCAATTGATTTTATGGAACAGCGAAGGCTAACAAACAAGAAGAAGAGGAACGACGAGAGAAGATCGAAAGAGAGGATTCGTTACCTTAAGAAGCTGGGACGAAAACTTGGGATCGAAGGTCTGACTGATTAGAGAGATTTCGGATTGTTTGGAATGAAACTGTGGATGAAGAAGGCGTGATTGGGGGTTTCGATTTATAGGAGCTGAATTGACCGACTTAGGTTCGGAGTAGTTCAACAGAAGCAGACACGTGTATGGACTGCCGTGCTTGTTGGCGTTTTCGATTTTTTCTAGACTGGGCCTAAGCCCATTCTGGGCCCCGACAAGGGAGGCCCTTCTATCAACGGACAAGAGAGGCCCATTTAACCCAGATTCCCCTGCCCTCCAGCCTCCAGGCTCCCGCCATCAATTTTTGGGGTTTCGAAATGTGGATGGGTATTGGGTAGCAAACAAAAATACAAAATCAGTCCTCGCCTAAGGCTATGATCAATTATGAATGATGTTCTACAACTCAAAATCGTGCTTTAACACATAAAAAGTTTATGTTTTTATTTTTTTAGTCATGAAAACGTTTCTACGTGAAATGACACTTTTTATTTAAAAGTATAGTAAAAAACTCAAAATTTTCGTTTTCAAAATTTACAATTTTATACTTGTAGTAGATCACAAAAACATTTCTAATGGGAAGAGCAACCTGTAAACCCCAATCTTAGAAAGGGCCTGACCATTCTAGTCACTAGGCTTTGGGAGATGGACACATAGTACAAATGGAACCAAAACCGGAGGTGCAGCTGTTAATGGGCTTTGTTGTTCCTATCCTGGGCATTGTGAGTGTGCAACAATTCGGTCCATACCGTAATATAACCGGTCTAAAAACAAAAGTTAATTTCGTAATTTGTATAATTGTAACAAATGTTATATCGAAAAAGTCAATAATAGGACATTTTTCGTTGAATTCGTTATTTAACCATGATTCAATCATTTCATATTATTGAAAATTATCTACCAATTTAATCTCTAGCAGGAGGGTTTTTTCGATCAAACCGATATACGATACGATTTCTCAAATATTGAGAAATTTGAGGATTGGACTTCTCAGTTGTCACTACCCACTTCATTATATTGGCCAGTCGACATATGTATATTCCCTGTCCAAAAGAAACGACACTAGAACTCCAACTTTCGAGCCCGCCACCATTGTTGTCCATTTGCTGTGCTTATGAAACATGGTTCTTTTGCTTTTTTTTTTTATGCATGAAAAGGAAAGGTAGACGACGACCGATTTGCATAAACTAATGTGTTATGAGATAATTTTTATATGTATGCGGCTTCTTGTTTTCGTTGGTTGGGTTATCCACTTGATTAGTCACTTGAGTTGGGGATTATTAGGTTAATGCTGAGTTAGGCTTCTCACAACAAAAGCAAAAGGAGGGAAAGGTTAATTAGGTTTCCTTTAGCTTTCTAGTACCTTTTTTTGGATGATTGCTTAGCTCTCCATTTCTGGCTATCAAATGGAAGTTTATCATCAACTGATTATACTAGATTCAAACAACGATTCGTACAATAATTTGAGTTCGTGGGAGAGATTCGAGTGTGAATATTGTATCAATCCCTTGTCATTGAACTGGAACAAATCAAACCAAATACTTTTTTTTTCATGAGGTTTCAATTACCGTTTCACTCTCCATGTTCAAAACTCACTAATGTACCGATTTAAATTAGATTGAGCCATTGCGAACACCTAGATGTGGGCTTATTAGACCGTAGATTGAGCTTTGTATATTTATTGCATCCAAAGACAGTGTCGGAGTTTCTTGTAGTAGCGACAACACCGGCCCTATCTTTATAGTATTTGATATGATGTTATTATGTATGTGCTGAACAAATATTGAAAAGTGACAACGATTTGAACTACTAGCCCTCCTACTTCAAAATCTAGATTCAATCGTGAGAAACTATCGCAATTTACTTGATCACTAACCAAACCCACTTTAATCATGTCAACCTGACTTCAACTCAATTCACTTCCCCAATTGTTTTAGTACACTTTATGTTGGAAATTTGGTTGAACCGGACTAACCAAGTCAAACCGGTTTTGGGTTATCGTACGTGTACCCTCATCCCTAAAAGTCCCAACACTTTAGTGACTTTAGTCAGCCACTCAAGTCTCAAACATGGGTAGAGTTCCGCTTCATTCTTTTGTCTTGGTATCACCTCCCCTGTTCTTCGTCTTTCTTCACCATCATGCAGAAACAACAGAAACCGTCGCTCTTGACAACCCTAATATAGAATGGCCTAGGATACAAGAGATTCTGCCATCCACCAAATACAATGGAGGCATAACCTGATCAGTAATGACTTCCATGGGACTGTAGCTATCAGTTGGGTGGGTTTTAGGGCTAAGCAGAGTCTAGTCACGATGACACGGCACTCTGTATCTCTCCATCGTGGGATGATAGCGAATTGAGTTACGGGCAGCAGGTTTCTGCAACTGGCCAAGAACGCAGACGGAGAGATGGAAGGTACGTAAAGGAGTAGTAGCCAAGTAGGACTCGCCTACCAAGTGTTCGAGGAAATGCGTAAGTAAGACAAACATGAAGCTCTCAATTATTGTCTCTCTCTTACCTTTCTGCTTCGTAAAGATGAAATCTTTTCGCCCGGGATTCGATTAACAGCTCATTATCTCAATTACCCAGAAGTCTCCATCGATACAAATTTATTGAATTTGGACCCCTGAATCTGCCTGTATCGTCCCATCAGCTTAAGGGGAAAGCTTCGATGGGGTATCGAATCCGTTCGCCACCTTCCTAGCTATTTGTCAACAGAGGACAGACATGGGACAAATTTTACAATACTACAACAAACATTACATTACATATACACCAGCAAGCATGGAGGGGTTGAATCGAATATTCATTTGCAGAGCTGGTTCAGCAAGCTCTGTTCCTGCTGCTGGATGGTGCAGTTGATTAGGGAGCATGAACGAATGGTCTCTCCGGCAAGCGGGACTACCGGGAGATTATCGCAGTTGCAAATTTCGATCATGGACCCATTTGGGTCGTGGAAGAATAGCTGATCGACGTAGATTCCTCCTTCTTCTACCCTGCCTTTCACGTAATCTATCTCCATCTCCATTAGCTTCTTCTCCACCGTCATCATGCTCTCGCACTGCACAAAATTATCACAAAAAAATAAGAAACCACCAAATTTGCACGAATTGGGGAATTGGGGAGTTGGGTTACGAACTTGGAAGGAGATGTGGTTGTCTTTAGGGTTGATTTCACAGATTTTCGGCATGCTGTCTGGGTCTTTGGACTGGAGCAAATGGATTCCAATTCCGTAACCAAACAGCCTGCAGAAAAACAGAGACACCCAAAATCAAAACAGAGCCCTCTGTTTTTCTTCTTCCAAAGTCTCTAAATCGGGGGTGAAAGAAGTTTAACGTACCAGGCGCCGTCAAAGTCGAAGGAACCAGGGCGGCGGATGGGGAAGAAGCCAAGAACGTTCTGGTAGAAATCCAGGGATTTCTCGACGGATCGACAGACGAGGGAGATGTGATTCAAGGACTTGAGCTGCAGAGGGTTGTCCTCCATTCCCATGCCCATTGTAACCCTCCTCTGCTTTTCCAATCTCGAAACTCTTGATCGAACGAGTGTGATGGAAGAAACGGGCTGAGGAAGATGGCTAGAAATGGTGGTTGTAGAGCGTTGTAATGGTGGTATATATAGCGGGAACAAACAGATGCTGGAGAGAGAGAGGCAGAGTTACTAAGTGAAGAGGGAGGGGTAAGAATTGGAATCGGAGAGTTTAATATTCGGTTCAAGTATCTCCATTAAGGGCTGAGGCTGACCGAAGCATTAAGCAATGATCCGTCATTGCGGCCATGGCGATGCTATGCTCTGCCTTCAACCTTGGCTCTCGTCTTGTTGTTGGTAATGGAGGTTTATATTTTGGGCCTTTGAGCCCGTATTCAACCAGGCCAGAACGAATCGGCCCACTCAAAAAACGCTCACGGCTGGAAACCCAAATACCCGACCGCATAAGCCGAGAGACGGCTTTTCCCTCCCTGAATCTCTTCCCAGGAGAAAATTTCCCGGAAAATCTCAACTCTCACAATAGGGGAAAAATGGACGGAAAGTTAGAAATCTCGATCGACAAGCTCCCCGTCAAGCGGCTGGAGGCCATCGAGCAAAATTGCACCGAACGCTTCCCGACGTACGTCGTGGGCGGAGGAGAGGAACTGAATGCTGTGCCAGTTGACCTACTGGCCGTGCGCTACTTAGATTACAGCTTCTGCTCTTCTCTCGACTGACAAAACTGGAAATTTGTGAGTCTCTCTCGCTCTCTCATTCCCTTCATGGTCGATTTTGCATGTTAGTGGAAGTTGGATAAGTTTTTCGTATGGTAATGGAAGTTGGGTTAGGGTAGGGCAGAACTAGAGTTTGTCAATGTCAGGGTTCCGAAGTTTTGCCATGGGAATTGAGTGAATGGTAAGACTTTTGGTTTGCAATTGTGAGAAGCAATGGGGATTAACATTGGAATTTGAATGCTGAATGTGGAACTGTAAGAATGGGGTGAAGCTAAAGTAGGTGAATTTTCCTTTTGGTTTATGTGTATGGAAGCTAATGATGCTGTAACAGTTGCTTGTATGAATAAGCCAAAACTACCTGATGACCAGCTGCCTGTCCTTGCTGTATCTACTGCGACCAAGCTACGATGATACCATGTATGTACTTTGTCTGCCCGACCTTTCCTCCATCACGCACTTGACATCAGTTGCTGATGTTACAGTTCATTTCATTTCCAGCAACTTGGCAAATGCCTCAAGCAGTCTGCCAAAGCTTTGGATCTGCAAGTGGCAAGAGAAGCAATATTTTATGGTGCTTTAATCAGGTTTGTGATATGTGCATCGTTTTTTTTTTTATGGGAGGGTATGTGCATTGTTAATTCTACCTCATTGAGTTACTAAGATGACCAGAGATCATCCTGCTGGCGACATAACTTATGAAGTCTGTTTTTCAATCAAACTTGTTAGTAATATGTAGGTTCCTGATACCCTTGTTAGGTATGCGTGTATGTACATAAAAGATGTACTGCCCAGCTAACAGCAGAACTGGAAAGTTAAACGCCAGAGACTAGCTGCACTTGCCCCTGGTTCACGTTTGACCTGTATCAGTATGACAACTCATTATACGACCCAGCAGCTGTTCGGCTGACCTCTCTTTGTACAATTCGAATTGAACACGACCTAGCTGGCATGCTTGCAATAAATTTGCCTCAAAAGGCGCTTCATTCACTTCACTTTGGTTTTCTAGGTTTAGACTCCAATAAAGATCGTAGTAAGACAGCCAGTAAAATCAGAACCAATTATTCAATTGAGCATATATCAAAAGGAACCGAGAAAGATTCTGTTGACGGCAATGGAAGTGTGAAAGGAACACATTCCCTGCTCCGTGAAGTTCATCAAGCGATCTTTGACAAGCAGGTCGAGTATCTCTGTTTCTCAATTGTGTTTTGTGATGATGGGTCCCTTTACTTCTTACATTCTTACTTTCTTCATTGTTATTATGGTTTCAGGTATTTGATATAGTGAACCGTGAAGCAGTTAACCAATCTTTAGGAGTCAACATAACTGGAATTCGAGAAAACTATCTACCGCTGAGCATTGGTCCAGAAACCTCTGTGTTTGTATCTTTTTCACCTTGTGGTCCAGGATGAATCAACAGCTTTTATTGGTAGGATCCCCCAGGATTTGAATCTGTAACATCTGGGTTCAGCTGAAGATGAAACATTCCAAAGCACTTGGGTTTTCCCAATTCTACTAGTTATGAAATATACCTCCGCCAGATATTTCACGAGAATGTTCTCATGAAAGCAAAGGAGAAACCCGTTTGTACAGGCACTCGCGTACATACTCCCCGAGTGAAGGATGAGCCCAGTCTTCTCAGTCACTTCTGCTTATCTCTGGCTCATAGAACACTTTCAAACAAAGTTCTTATGGAGCTAGAAAAAGTGGTACCTTTCTAGATTGATTGATGATTTCATGCTACTTATTGATGTCTTAAACAGCTTGTGCCCTTTTGTTAAAATAATAATATTTTGCTGTTTGCCCACCCAGGTTTGCAGAGTCCCGTATCTCCATTTGATATCTCATCCCACTTGGCATTCCATGACATCTTTATGGATGATCTTAATGAGAGTACCGCCAACCATTCTCTATGCAAATTCTCCATCACAGTCCTCAGACATCCAAAACATGAAGAGAACTGTTATTAAATCGGAGTTTCGAAACAAGGTTATGGTGAATGATGATCACATCCACATTGAAGCAGAGGGTGCTCCCAATGTTGTTGGTCTCTTCGATGGGAGTTCTAAATATAGATGCATGACCAAAAAGTATGATTGCGATTTGGTCGATCTTCCTGTCACAATTCTGCAGCAGGTAAGCCATGTGTTTGTTTTAAAATTATGCGCAACTTTTTCTTAAAGTGCCACAATTGTTAGTGAAAACAAACACTCTTCATCTTTCTAACTCGTCTCTTCAACCTCGTCAGGTTGCAAGCCAAGTCATCCGCTGGCTGCACGAGGAAACTCTCGGGGCGGGAATGAAGCCAACTCGGGATTTCTTATGCTTGTCTTTTGAGTTGGATCAAGGCGACTTACTCAGCCTGGTGGCCCACGTAGACCCGGAAGACACACAGGGATGCATATCTTGGTGGTTGGTCATGGATGGAAATTTTGCAGAAGAGAGGAAACTCTATGCTGATGTCGCTGTAGATGGATCATCCGACTACCGGAAGTTCTTGGGGTATCTTACCTTGGATGTGTTGCATTCAACCCTGATGGACTTGGTCAGTTTGTGCAGTGGAGCAAGAGGTGGTGGAGGCCATTAACATGGTGTTTGTCATATAGGTATCCCGTGTAAATTTCATCTGCAATGGCGTAGTTATGTAGCATAGGCAAGTTTTGTACATCAACATTACCCTTAATCTCATCAATAAATTCTTTTCTAAATCATTCTACTTGGTTACTGAATTGCAATGGTCTCCATCATAATCAGTGCTTGCAGAAGGCTCTGCTACATATCCAGATGACTAAATCTTGAAGCTAAGAACCCATAAAAGAGAAACTGAAAAAGAGAGCCATGTGCCCCTGAACTTGAACATGAACCCACCCTAGAACAGAGGAATTTTCAGCCTTTTTTCTCTTATCTATCAAAATTCCAAGTTCCAACAGCCTGCAATTTAGATACCAAACTTTGCCTTCCTTCCATCATCTTCACAGGATTCCACTCTTTAATGTTTTGCCTTTTTGGGTCTAGGGTTTGTGGTTATCCAACATGGAAGAGGCCCTTTCACGCTGAAAAAGATTGAGCTGGAAACCAACTGCAGTTTTATTGCAAAAGAGAGTGGAAATTCATTTCCTGAATAGGGCAAACTAGGGCACAATCATTGCTCATGTATCATGATTTCCCCTTTCTTTCTGGGTTCACCGAGCTTCCCACTAAGAATTTCCCGCCTCCTAGATAACCTAAAAGCTACGTTTTGTTTCAGTGGTACAATTCCATCAGGGTAAATTACACCTGAGGTCACTGAAATTATACGTTTATTTTACATTCGTCACTAAGAAAAAGACCATCAAAACGTGTTGATGAAAAATGTCATCTAGAGCCTTGTCTTATGTCAAGTCTATCGTATGAATTTGGCAATAAATCACTTATTTCATGTTGGTTGAATTCGTAGGGGACTTAATCTGCACGAGATCATATCGTACTACTGAAAAACACCATCAATAACTCTATCCATGTTGTCATCCTCAATTTTATTGAATAAATATTTCCCACCCCTATAAAATAAAATAAATCACCCACACGAAATGAACATTTGGTCGTAACTTAATCAACAGGGCTAATTAATTTATTAATTACTTGATTAACAACCCATCAAAACCCTAATCGTACGAAAACAGAAATTATACATTTCTGTCAATGGAAGTTATCGGTGAAAGATTAGTGTAATCAAAGCACTAGCGTATGACCAATATGACAAAATAGGGCGGAAAGGGATTTGATTAGAAGGGATTTAAAATTAATAAAATTTCATTATTAACTTATTATAGCACTAAAAAGTTTTGTACTCAATAGTGAGATGTACCCAAAATATGGGACAAAATCTACAACTTTCATTGTATAAGATTCTCATCCACTTAAGTTAACAAGTAACAACAATTAAATTTTGGAGTCATAACAATTTAGTCACCAAATATCGTTCGAGTTCGGAGTAACTGATAAAGTAGTTGTTTTATTGTTCATTATTGTAAAAAAATATCGTCTAAATTTTATAGATTAGTAAGCGGTTGGAGTTGGAATGAGTAGTGGAGTGAACTAGGGACTAGGGTTATTCTAGTGTAACATGATTGGTTGGAGTTAGGCCTTTTAATATCTTTGATTTACGATCAAGTGCGCCAATGTAATCCGATATTAGGATGGAGAAGTCGACTCAACCTTAGTTGACTGGCAGACTGTTGTCTTTATCGAACCAACTACTCACTACTGTTTGACCAACCCTAACTTGATTTTTAGAAAACGCAACGTGTGATGTAAAATGGATCATGTAGTTGTATGTCAACAACCTATTAGGATCAACGATAAGTTTTTCTATTATTATTAAGTTTGGAATTTGACACTTATATTTGAACAATTTTGATGAAGTATTTGATAAAAATGAGCAGAGAGATCACTGTTATAAATGATTTATTCAAAAGTTCAGCAACATAGTCGGTTAAAACAAAGTTAATGATTCGATCTCAAATAACCTCAAAATTTAGTGACCATTTCTGTAATTGACCCTATTTTCAGCTGGAATTTTCCATTTTGTGAGAAAAAATAAAATAAAATATGCAAAATTTCCTCTCCCAGTTTCCGTTAACAACAGATCCCTTTCGTCACACTACTGCTCTCTCACACCCACGCCCACGCCACAAGAAGCGCAGAGAGAAGAAGAAGGAGAAATACAAATCCAACTGTAGTCTTCTTCTCGCCCATCCTGCCCAAATTCCACCCTTCCATTTCCAGCTCCTTCTGAGCTCTCCCCCGTTCGCCGTCTTTGCTTCCTGGGCATTGCTGGCCGAACGGGATACAGATACTTGGAAGAAAAATCCAAAAGGAGGGAGGAAAGAGTTGCAGTCACAGGAGTCCTTTCGCGGGAGGTTCGTCCTATTCCCCGGCGGAAACCCCAATTCGGAAATTGCCGGGGGGTTTCTTTCACTTTCTTCCAATTGGTTTAACTTGGTGGGTATTCGAGGAGCAGGAGCATGTGGGCGATCGTGATGGGTTTGTCTTGAGATTTCCCCCGTTTCTTCCTTTTTGCCTCGTTCGATAGCGACCTTCAATTTCTGAGCTGCGGGGGAATTCGATTTCTCTTGCGGGGTTTTGATTTATTTTTGCAATCATTGGATGGTAGTGTGTGGACTCTGTTGAAGTGCGTACCGGCACGGCAGTTCATTTCCCACTATTAGATGTAGCAGCTGAATAATTTCCTCTCCTCCATTTTCATGATCTTATGGAGTGATGCGTTATTGATTGCGCTGGGAGTGGGTTTCCGTGGTGGGTTTTGGGACTTGAGGAAGAGGGTTTAATTCGGATTTTTGATTTTGGGGTTGGATTTCTACTGATCTTGGGGAGGGAGGTTTTCAGAGTAGGGAGAATGTCTGGTGGGACGCCGAGAGGTGGAAATGTGAGGCAGAGACTTAGCCAAGGAGGGTATGGATCGAGTGGTGATGATTTGGAGGATGATGCTTGCTCAAGACCGCAACAGCACTTCTCTCCCACTCCTCCACGGGTCAGGTCTTGGGTCGAGATTTTGGAGAATCTGCTTTGGATTGCTTCAGCCATTTTCATCGTTTACTATGGTGACAGATATTCCAATTTGATATATCTACTGTGGCACGATGGTAGAATAAGAAGGTAAGCAGCTCAGTTTGTTCTTATTCTCTAGTCACGGTTTGATATCATGTGTGGTAGTTGGTGTTTGCTCAAATATTGAACTTGCGTTGATAGCAAAGACAGTTAGAATGGTTGGTGGATATCTAAGAGAATAGTTTCTATAGTTATGGATGCGTTGTATTTCTGGGTATGAAACTATGAATGATCCCATTTTCATGTCTCTTGGTTATTCTTTGGTTATTGAAATTGCTGATAATATGTGCTGTTTCCTTTGACAAACTTGCTTGAGGGAAGAATGGATGAACATTCCAATTTAACTATCTATGGCACCTGTGCTTGTGTGGTGATCTAATTCTGCTAGCTGTTACACTATGGGGATAAGAATAGTGTGCCCTTATTGACACAGTGGCGGTCAATATGTGTCGTGCTGTAGTGAAAGAGTGGGCTAGAGTTAACTTTGTTCCTGTAGTTTTGGCTATATGATCTATGGGGATAAGAATACTGTGCTGTATTTACATTTCTGAGAATTTTCTTGCATGTTAATAGAGTCTTTGATATAGAAACTGGCTCGTACGTATGACTCGCACGTATAGTATTCTTGTAACCAGTGTGCAAAGTGAACTTGTTCAATAATCTATGGAACAAAAAGAGATTTATGAGTACTCAAGTGCATAGGTGTTTGCCCCATTTCAGAGATGTCAACTATAGGATTCAAAAGGACTGGCAAAGGGAATCCAGCCACTCTGTTGCATGATTGAGATGCTAAGTCATTATTATCTTTTCCTGTTTTACTTATTCTATTAACTAGCTTTGTTTTGCCAGCCTTAGTAATGACCTTTATTTCTATAGTAGTAAAGTTATCAACTTGAGAATCTGTCTAGGGGGATCAAATGCAGAAGTTGTCTGCTGTTTGCTATTTGGATGATTTTATGATATCTCAGCTATTCATCCTAGTTTCTTTCTGTCGTATCATATTCTCATTTTGGTGACTTTAACCTCAGTTAGTTACCAGCTGTAACACCTTGAAGTTAGTAGATTAAATTGGTGGTCAAGTTGGTCACTGAATGTGAACTTTTCCTTCTTGTGCTGTCTACTGTTAGCTTGATGCTAGTGTTCTAAATTCATATTTCACTTTTACTTTGTAAAGTGGAAGACAAACTGCAGTGTGCTGTGAGACTTCATTATTCTTACGTGTGGGGGGCTATTCGCATGGAAATATTGAACATATGAGTGACATTGGATTTATCCTTTCAGTCACTTCAAATAAGGTCCTCCGATATGTCTCACTAGTCAAGTGTTTTGTCTAGCTGCTTGCCATAAGCTCCTCTAGTAAGGTGATGATACCACTTGGTCTTACCAGGAACATGTCTTGAAAAGTGTATTTCACTTGCCGCATATCTAAACCTAGATTTTATGTGATTGATACATACATCCCTTTTTCATTTTTAGAAGCTGCTGTTCATCTTTATGTATCAGTAATTAGTGTAAGTGGCTGGCCATATGACCAGAATATGAGAATAATTTGATGCTTCCGAGTTGAAATGCTCCCTTATGGTATCTAATACTGCTGAAATTTTCGTGCAGAGTGCCTTTGTACTTCGGGATGGGGGGTGTTGGTTTCAATGTACTCATATTTTTGTACACAAGTTTGTTCTCTTGGAGCGATAGAAGATTTGACGAGAAATGGGAATTGTCGAGTTTATCTGCTCTACCATGGGTTACTGTATTGGGTCTCATCTCCTTCTGCTTGTAAGAACATATCTTATATGATGATCACTCTCTTTAATTGAGTATTACGTATTACCATCCGACCACTCATCCTGTTTCCCCAAAACCTCTTTCATGTAGGTTTTGTGTGGCTTTGTGGCCAATATGGAGTTTCTTGACAATTCCTCTTCTGGTACAAATCTCAGATGCCCCTAAACCTTTTGTTCCTTGCCATATCTTCTCACCCATACCATCAGAATCCTAACGTGTCATTTTATCTGCAGTTCACCTTGTTCATGGCCTTCATGATCATATTTCCTTCAGTTATAGTTGGAACGCTGAGGCAACAAGGCGATGCATTCCGTATAGACTAAAAGACTCTCGAGAGCAGGTGGAGATACTCTGACATAGATGAAGAACTTTCTAACCCAATGGTGGGTAGCACTTGATGTAGGTCAAAAGATCCATTTTGTCTCATGGATGAACACGAATTTACTGCACAGTTTTTACCTCTTGGTGTTGGTGGTGGTAGTTACAAACGGAAGCTGACCGGGTGATTCACCCGGTCAGTTGTTATACCCTCATTGTCTTTGGCACAGACACTAAAATTTCCAGGCAGCCCTCCAATATAAAGCACAGGATCAGATCGATCAGCAAGGCGGGGTGGAGAGACTCTCAGAAGGTATTTAGAGATTGATTGGTTTGATTGGTTGTATTGTGATACATTTAGTGACTGGATTCCATCTCGCCCTTGTTCTTGGATTTGCTTTTTAGAATTTGAATGAGAAGGGGGCAGTAAAGTTCCATGTTATAGTGATCAAATTGAGTGTTCATAACTTTCTTTTTTTCCCTTTTTCGTCCTAAACGCGTAAAATCCCATCTGGGTTCATCCTATTCATCAGAAAGCTGCAGCCTTTGATGTCTCTTTGTGATCTTGCTCTTTTCTGTGATCCCTTCCTACCGTCGATGATCGTTTAAGCTCGTTTGAGATCCAGCCTATGACTTTTACATTTCAGCTGACTCATATCCAGGCAGCAATGACAGCAGCAGAGGCTAGAAACCAAACCAGAATGAGATTAGATCATCGAACTCTCAGGATAGATAAACCATGTTTGCCATGAAGTGGACACTTCATCAACTCCACTTAACCAAAAGGAATGGAAGAAAAAGGCTGAGCAAATAAAGCCATACACATTTGGCCAAAAATTAGTGCATACATTACAATCTCCAACGAGTATCCTCGTGGAGAAGGCTTGTGGACTATTTCCATTTCTCAATGAGAAGGTTGGAGTTCTTGTTAGTAAAGAAATAGAAAGGTGGGTGATCAGTTGACTGCTTCTTCATACATTTTTACGCGTAGGAGTTGATGAGAATGATGATGACACTTCGATCCTGTTGGGATACTTTTTCTTTGCACAGAAACTATGGTAGCCATAGAAGTTGTTAGCTAGGGTTTGATGGGTTCAGACTGAGTTGGGAGACAGTTTTTTTTGGGCGGATTCCCACTTTGGAAGATCACCATTTTGGCTTGGATGGGATCGCCCCCACAAAACACACACATAATAGGCCTCAACAACCAACTCCCTCTCTTATCCCACATCCTTTTTTTTTTAACAAGTAACTAGTGTGGCCCCGGCCAGTTGGCCGGAAGAAGGTGAGGAATGAAATTTGATAATATAATGAGGTGTATAACTTATTGTTGTAATAGTTTTTTTTGGGAAATTCGTGATAAAAATAGTGAATTTTAGCAGTAAAGAAACATGAATGATGCAATGAATAAAAAATCGGCCTTATGAACCAAAATCAAGTACATGTTACTTTGTGAAACAATATTGTTTCTGGTAATATGATGAGTTCAAGTAAGTTTTATAGAAACCGAATTCCAGAAAATCGAATGAATCGCCTATCCCGTCGGTTTTCGGGAAATGAGCATCTCACAATCGTTGCTAGCTTTTACTCGGTCCGTTGGTCGATTAATTTGCTTTATAAAACTTTCATCTTGTCGTCATTGTGCTTTCTGGTTTTTGTTAGGCCATGATAAAATCTAAGGAAATCAAGAACGAATAACAAAATTTGGGATAGGAACCGTCGTTGTCGTATCCTAGAAAATGGTGGTAAACACAGACTCACCTGCCAAACTGGTTTAGATTGAGATTTTTATCGGGTATCAGGGAACCATGTGATTATAAATTAGACTTGATCAAAACAGGCCAAAACTTGAAATTCAGCATGTTTGACCGACCCATGCCAAATTCTAATTATTCTTTACTTTTAAACTTTCTATTTGAAAATAAAAAATAGTGAAAGAAAAGAGATGACTGCAATTCGCCATTTGCACATCACTTATTCTAGAATAAAATCATAAAAATTCAAAAGGAACTGAAAATGTTTAGGATCATTTTAATGTTTAAAATAACCAAATAGATCGTTCTATTTCGTTTTTTACTAACAAATACCAAACGATTCCCTATAAAATACACTATAATTTGATCATTATGATATCAAATAATTATATAATATATATTTGAAATTAGGGATGACAATTTCGACCTGACCCGATTTACCCGACCTGTTTGACCTGTTTTGGAGCAGGTCAAACCCGCCCCGTAGGCGGGGCGGGGCGGGCATGGGTACCTCTCATCGCCCTGACCTGCCCTGACCCGCCCCATTCTCGACTCATTCTTGCCTATATTATATATAATCTTAGTCAAATTACTTAGGATTTTCCTCTTATTACATTATATTTTAGCTATAATAAAGTTGTAAATAAGTGAAAACCTCAATTTCTTCAATAATTTAACAACATTTTATCATATTATGGTTTCTTTCTTGGTTTTTTAATGAAGATAACGAATGTTTCTAATGTTTTTCGCATAATTACATACCCAACGAGTCGACCTGCCCCTACCCGCGCCCCGTGATAAATTACCCGACCTGGACCCATTGCCATTCCTATTTGAAATGATAAAAATTGGACTAATTGGGTTGGTCGAGGTTGAACCATTGAATAACTTTAAAATACATTATATTTTAGCCACTAAGATATAAAATAATAGCATAATATATATTATGCCAGAGAAAATGGCTTGTTTTAGAATGGCAAACCAATGATGTTCATCTGTTTCTAATGTTTTTCGCATAATTACATACCCAACGGGTCGACCTGCCCCCGCGCCCCGTGATAAATTACCCGACCTGGACCCGACCTGCCATGGGGCGGGTATGGGTATCGAGATACCCGTCCCGGACCTGCCCCATTGTCATTCCTATTTGAAATGATAAAAATTGGACTAATTGGGTTGGTCGAGGTTGAACCATTTAATAACTTTAAAATACATTATATTTTAGCCACTAAGATATAAAATAATAGCATAATATATATTATGCCAGAGAAAATAGCTTGTTTTAGAATGGCAAACCAATGATGTTCATTTGTTTTACTTGATGGCCAAATCCCGTGTAGGTCAGACCCATTCAACTCTTTTATTTTATGGTTAGCGGTTAGCCCATTAGATACCATGCATTAGTTTATTGTTAAATTTTTTATTTTTAGCAATAAAAATGAGTATTGTTTTTGCCTTTTCATATATATTTTATCACCAGGGAGAAATAAAAGGGCTTAAAGAAAAAAATTGACACTCCTGGACCCGTTTAAATCCGCATGTGTACGGTAAGTTGGCCCGTTCCACAGAGGAAAGAGAGAAAAATTGACACTCCCTATTCTACCCTTCCTACAAACGCTCCTGGAGCAGGGAATTTGAAATGGGTGAAGGGTTTTTTTTCCTCCCTGCTATTATATGTTTTTAATTTAAAAAGATACAACAAATGTACTTAGTGTGATTGCTTATGATCCTTGCTTTTCTTTAAAATGGTCATGGTTCGAATCCCAGTACGTGTCTTTTTAATGAATAAAAAAAGTAATTGTGAAGACCAAAATGTCCTTCCTACTTTCACTCTCGTTGCAAGAAATTTGAAATGGGGCTCCCGTTTTTCCCTTCGGTGTATTATATTATGTGTAGATCCCCTTATTCTAATCCCAAGAAGGGAAGCCAGTAACATTACAAGAGAGGAGCAATAATATCACAAATTACAATTCAATCCACCGGTTATGTATTCAGTCGAGTTTGGCCAGCAACCCAATTCACGAGTGAATTCAGATGCCGAGGAACAACCTCTTACCCACATTAACAATAACTATTTTGTGAGTTATGAATAATTTGGTGGGAAGTGGGTGTAATCAAAATTCATTGTAGATACATGAGGGTTGGTTAGTTATTTACTATATTGTGATTCTGAATAAATTTCTTTAACACTTATTGTGTTGGTCGTCGATTTATAATCATTTCGTTAATGAGTATATCCAAATCTTTTACCAGTCACATCGATTCATGCCAAATCAGTATATTACACCACATACCATGTATACTTGAAATTTCTTTCTTGTCGTCGATTTGGCTCATATCATCCTCTTCCCCTCTCATTTACTATGAGATGTGCCACATCGAAGGCGTAAGTCATCAAATTTTAAAAACAAATTTGAATATCATATAAACTCAACACGTATGAACGACTTGAGATATAAGTAAATAATTTAAAATTCATATTACAAAGGGTTTGTTGGAATGTCATACTACAAAATATAATAAAATAACTGATTTTGGTTTGTTGATGAATGTTACACATTGATAAGAACCCTTCAACCCAACATAATAATTATGATAAAATATATTACACCTTCACTATCATTTATAGCTCATATCCCTTATGATTTCCTCATTCAAAGGGCAAGAAAAGTAAAACCCACAACCTCATCATTCACACTTCTGTGGCCTCCTCCTTAATTAGTTCTCTCAATTAATATGCGAGCTTGCATTGAATCCCACTTATAATCAAAGATGAAGAAAAAATGCAAAATGTTTTAAATGCCTGAAAGTGATTATTATGGTTAGTAAAGTATATATCATACTCAAAATGATATGGTGGTTGGATTATGGACGTATTTCGTTGTACTTTAGATAATATGAACGATTGATTATTCTCGTGTATGAAATTATTTTTGAGTTTGGTTTTAGAGAACACAGATCTTGGGTTTATCTACTAGATATTATAGTATAGTATATATCCCAAACCAATTTTATTCATTATATAGACTGAGGTATCTCACTGAAAATATCTTGAGTATGGTTTATTTTAGGAGTAGAACCGTCTAACCCTCTCATTTGGTTAATAATTAGTTCAGCTTATTAGCAAGCCAGGAGTCTTAATATATTTGCTGTAATCCTATTGAGCAGATTATCATGACATTAATCTAACATAAGAACTTGTTGGTCTAAATCTTACGGGTAGTTGAGTTGAGGGTTTTGATGATGGATTTGGGGATGGAAACCCATCCATTATATATTTGAACGAATATATATCGTTTACCTTAGAGAATTAAGAGAGTGAAATCCTAAATTCATCATATCCACATTTTTTTTGGCCAAATTTGTTTTCTTGACCAATCAATTTTCCTTTCTACACTCTCAATTCTTGGTGCAGAACCTCCTATATATACTTAATAACTAATTTAAATAGGTTTTTTCATAAATCTACATCATGGTACAATATTTCTATCGATAATCGTCACTTAGTATGTCAAATTGCTGGAGACATCCCTTTCTAAGTCTGATTTTCTACGAGGGGTTATTTAATATAAAACTTACCTTTCATTCTCAACATTGAACCAACAGGTTTTAATTAGATTTGAACATTTGTAATATTTCAGTCAACCCAAATCGCCACCTCGACCTCATTGCTCCAACTACAAAGATCCCCAATTTTTCTTCACCACATTTTGTGGAAATGAACATCTAAAGAGAGAGGGATGGAGACATCTCCATCGGTTTATTTTCAACGAAAAAACATAATATTAAATAGAAGTCGATAAACAAAATACCAGAAAACTAATTATGTGTCCTAAAAAATAATCTAATGAGCTTTCTCGCTATGAATATTGTTGGTACCTCGTCTTTCCAGTGAGGATAGTAGATCCCGAGCTGGACAATATCTGGCGATAGCAGATGAACGTAGTTCATTGCCATACAAGTTCTCAAGCTAAATTTTAGTTTTTTTGTCGAATCGTGCCTCTTCACGATTAGAACCTTAGTTAGTTAGTAGTGTATGTCATGCGGGTGAGTAACGATTGAGTCTTTGATGGGTAATGACAATGCACATAACTAATTATAACGATTGATCCCAAATTAGTAACGATAATGTCCATGTATAATAATTGAGCATTGATTAGTAAGAATTGTCACACATACACTAATCCCTAATTAGTAATGCTTGTCACCTATATATTTTGATTATTTTCCTCAAAATGTCAGCATCTCCAAACTAGAAACATTTATTTCTCCATTTTTTCAATACCTACTTTGATTGGTGCTTTGTAAGAATATACAAGTAAAATCCAAATATCTGCAAAAAAAAAAAAATATAATGAAGTGTCAGACTGTGTGTTGTGAGTTGTGACTAATGGGGGACTACAAACATCAATAGTTAATTAACTTTTAAACTTGGTTCTTATCGACCCTAATAAGTACAAAAGGAATAAGTACTTATATATCTAATTAAAAAAAAACACTACAAAAGTAAATCAAATAGGAGAAGATGGATTTAAAAAACAGATTAATTACTATGGATTGTTCCATAAAACTAATCTTAAACATGGGACATGAAAGACCAACGAATGATTAATTCTAGAAGTAGCATTGACATGACAATCAATGACATAGAAATGCTCGAATCTCCTAAACATGTCGTTTTTTTATATATCATTTGAAAACTAAAATCGGTGCAATCGTTTACAACAACACCATCTTTCCTTTTGAAAATAAAAGAAATGCATCCTCAATCTTTTCAAATATTTTAAGACGAACTTATTAACAACAATCTAGTAAGTCTCACACGAATTCGACTAATACTGACTTACTCTTTCCTCGTGATACATAATATACACGATAGATCACGTGACTGAAACATTATGAATCTCATTTGTTCCCGTTCTATCTTTTCGACACCAACCTTCTTTTTTAACGTAAGAGTAGTATAGATATTATCTATCACGAGGAAAGAAAACAAAGACGATTAGTGACAAAAGATTAGGTATTGATAAGAGTAGTATAGAGACAAAGGAGCTTAGCTAGCTAAGGTATCAATCATCCAACTCACTCACTCCACGAAATGCCGTCCGAGGCAGGCAGGAAGCAGAAAGGTCTCATTCTTTCTTCATCAAGCCACCCGCCGCAACACGTCAGACGGTGGTTGGGTCCCGCCGGCCACCGCCAGATCATCAAGTAGTGGCCGGAGGAGCATCCATGGCACACAACAGAGAACCAGTAGAGGAGAGGACAGTAAATTAATGGAGTGAAGAAGTTGACTCTGTCTCTGGCTCTCGCTACTTTTTGTCCTACGAAAGGAAAAAAACAGAGTACTCTGCTGCAGGTGGAGGTAAAGTAAAAGGCCGTAAGGGTGGTTTTTTGTGGGAAGAAAACAAATAGCTATCTGCCAAAGCTCTCACGTCTTATTGTTATTGTGGATTTGTTAATGGTACTTTTTTCGACCTTTTTTTCTTCCCATACAAAAAGTGACAAACTTTATGGTTTAGGTTTGCTATGGCTGTCCTTTCTCTGCTTCTTGTTGCCATTTCACAATCCCTCCCTTTGGTTTGATGGGTTGGTAGTGAGATTTGAAATGAATAGAATGTCGTATCGATCGGTTGTATCGAATTAAGTTTGTATTGGTGACGAAGTTATACGTCTTCTACAACATGTTAGTCTTGTATGTTTGATTTGTAATTCGTTTAGGTTGGAGCTTGTTGAGAAGAATCGTTCACCTCCCTCACCCACTGGCTCAACATTTTCGAAGGGTATCTTCACCGGTCTGCCTCATCATTTTCGTGTTGCGAAAACATATGAAAATGCCAAAACATGATGACCTCTTCTTCTTCTTCGATGCAATCATCCTTCAACTTTTTGGTCACATCAATGTTATTGCTCGATCGGTTTGATTGTCAAACTCGTTCAACTGTCTACTGATTCGATTCATGTATGCTTATCTCATCATCTTATCTAATAACCTGACTGAATCACGAAAATGAGCACTGTCATTGGACTCTTCCACCTAGATAGCTATGCAATTTTACGATATCACCTCTTTTATGTTGAAAATTTCTCCTCCATAATACAAAATTTTCATAAGTAACTACCGCTTATCATATTCTGATTGTTTTCGTTTTTTCTATTGCAAAGGAGTCCATCCTAAAATTTAACTCCTTTCTTTATATAGGCCAACTCAAACAAGTATAGTACACAAAAATTGGTTAGGCGTTAGGTTTCCACATGGTGTTACACATTAATCACAATAGGGCCCAAGCTATTATTATTCACCATACTTACAAAATAAAATTCGAAGTATTAAATACACAAAATGGGGAGATAATGGTTGTCTCTTATCATAATTCACAAAGAAAAAAGAGGAAAGAAAGAAAAAACCCCAACCGATTCCCTCCATTTACTATGTCCACCGTCCTCCACGATCTCCTCCTCCTTTGTCTCAACTCTCTCGCCTAATAATTACTCACACTCCACCTCTCAGTTTCCACTCCTAATTCAATCCTCCCGTTCATCGGAGCTCCCTCCTGCCACCCGCCGCCGGCGAGGTCAAAGCCACCGTCTTTTGTCACCTTGCGAATGTCCGATTGATTTAGTCTTCCGTTTTCTAGAAATTCGAACCGCTATGGCATCTGGGTCGGACCTTCTGGTCGGGACCGCTTCCTTTTGACAAACTTAGGGGGTGGTTTTTAATGGTGGAAAAAGAAAAGGGGGGAGAAAAGAAGGGTCTCCGTCCGTTTCCCTGTTTTCTCAAATGCTCTTGCCCTTCGACTTGCCTCTGCTCTTAATTCTTCTTGCTGTCTCGCATTTGGGTTGTCTCGCTAGAAGATAAAGTCGGAGTCTTTTGTCTCCCTTCTCCTTCTCCCGTTCGTTTCCGTTCAGTGGTCAATTCTCTGAATTGGATGTGGTGGAAAGAGTGATTTATTCTCTTGTGGGGATGATTTCCGGAGATGGGTTTTGATTTTGACGTTGGAATGGAGCTGGGTTTGCTTCGATAGCACCTCAGAGTGTCACTTTTGGAGCTGGTTCTCAGTTTTGACTTTTGACAGTTGGTTGGAGGTGAATTTGGGGGTCTTTTTTGTGATTTGGTGTGAGAGAGAAGGAAGGGCTGGTGTGGTGTAGATTGAAAGCGAGTTCCAAGAGTTGGTGGAGCAGTGCTCAGAGTTTGCTTTCATGCATTTTAGATTCCACTGAATTTTGTGTTCTTAACAGCAGAGAGGGGCATCATGATTTAGATTGTGCCCTTCTGATTTTGGAAGGAGTGAACTTCTGCAGTGATATTAGTTAAACCTGGCCATGGCGGATCCTTGGAGGATGAGAGACGCAGAGAGAATGAATCAACCTCCTTTGGTAAGTCTGATTCTATGCCCTTTTGTTTTTTCAGCATCCTCACTGGTTTGAGCAAATTCTCATCTTAGGCTGTTCCCCTTTTGTTTTCCCCCTTACATTTGGAATGTATTTGGTATGTGATTCTAGCTCATCCTGTATGCAATGACTTCCATTTGAGCATTTTCTGGTGATAGGATTTTAGGGTTGATCTTCAGTTTGAGATCTCAAAGGAAAATTTTGCTAATGGGAAATGGTATCTTTAGTAATTTTTGGACTTTATATGACACCCTTTTGGGAAATTAGTGGTGTTGATCAATTGCCGAGAACTAACTCACCAATCTGTTGAAATCATGCAGCATGTTCTTCTTCTCTTATTCTGATAATCTCTGCAGTTTTTCCCTTGCTTATAAAGCCTAACTGATGAAAATCATATATTGGTGTCAATGTCATTTCCACAGGTTGACACAACAGCTTGCTTATGTAGAGTAGATGCAGGCCTCAAAACCGTGGCAGGTGCCAAAAAGTACGTCCCGGGTAGCAAGCTATGTCTTCAACCAGACATCAGACCATCTATCCATCCAACCAGACATAAACCCTCACGAGGAGATAGAAACCGAAATCAATCCCCATTGCTCCCGGGACTCCCTGATGATCTCGCCATTGCTTGCTTAATCCGAGTACCTAGAGCTGAGCATCGAAAGCTTCGACTCGTCTGCAAGAGGTGGTACCGTCTCTTATCTGGTAACTTCTTCTACTCGCTTCGAAAGAATCTTGGAATATCCGAGGAATGGATATACGTGATCAAGAGAGACAGGGATGGGAAAATATCTTGGCATGCTTTCGATCCCATATACCAACTATGGCAGCCACTTCCACCTGTCCCCAAGGAATATTCTGAAGCCCTAGGTTTCGGTTCAGCTGTTCTAAGTGGCTGTAACCTCTACTTGTTTGGCGGCAAAGACCCTTTGAAAGGATCGATGAGACGGGTCATTTTTTACAGTGCTAGAACTAATAAGTGGCACCGTGCACCCGACATGCTTAGAAGACGGCATTTCTTTGGTTCGTGTGTTATAAACAACTGTTTGTATGTAGCAGGTGGGGAGAACGAGGGCGTCCACCGTCCATTGAGATCAGCTGAAGTTTATGATCCCAATAAGAACAGATGGTCACTGATTTCAGATATGAGTACAGCAATGGTGCCCTTCATTGGGGTAGTTTACGAGGGTAAATGGTACCTTAAAGGACTCGGGACTCACAGACAGGTTTTGAGTGAAGTCTACCAGCCGGTAACCGATAGCTGGTATCCTGTTTATGATGGCATGGTGGCAGGGTGGAGAAACCCAAGTGCTTCCTTGAATGGAAACCTCTATGCCTTAGACTGCAAGGATGGGTGCAAGCTTAGGGTTTATGACGAAGAGACCGATTCATGGAGCAAGCATATCGATAGCAAGTTGCATCTGGGGAATTCTTGTGCTTTGGAAGCAGCTGCTCTTGTTCCACTGAGTGGGAAGCTGTGCATCATTAGAAACAACATGAGTATATCGGTTGTCGACGTTTCGAGATCCGAAGATCTTGGGGAAGCTCCCGCTGAACATTTGTGGGGGACTCTTTCTGGTAGAGGGCAGTTCAAGACTTTGGTCTCGAATCTTTGGTCGAGCCTTGCTGGGAGGAATCGCCTGAGGAGCCACATTGTTCACTGCCAGGTTCTTCAAGCATGAGAAGTGTTGACACCACATTTTGTCCGAATCGAAACATGGTTAAAGAAGTTGTAGAAGTTGTTTAAGGTTGGTAGTTGTGAAATTTAAACGATTTCTTAGAGTGAAATTAGAAGTATCTATAGATGTGGGCTTGTCTCGACCAGAAAAGATCAACAATATAGTATCTAAAAATGCCGATTTGATTTGGTCACAGTCAAGCTGATGGTGCTGGGTTGCCAACTTGCCATGTTTGGTTTTGGTTATAAGAATTAGACAATTTGCTTGGTTTGGTTACCATCAAATTGATGTTTAAAGGATTAAACTTTAAAAACTTCACTAAACGATTAATTTGGTCAATATTTCAAAAGATGTCTATCCCGATCTAAACTAATACTGATGAGACTAATTTGATCTAATTCGAAGGTTGACTGTTATGTTGGATGGTCAAAGAGTCATATCATTGTTACGCTATAACAAAAAAACATTAAAAATTCCTAAATTTCACATATTTTATAGTAAGCATTGGATTGCCAGACTCGATTCTCCATTCCATACAAATGGGAAAACTTCAAGCTAGACATTGAATACACGCTGTTAAGACGCAAATCTGGAGGAGGTGCTGCTAGAAATAAGCATTACTTTTTAGTTTAAAACAAGAAGCATTAGATGCAATTACTATTGCACAATCACTTGGTTCAGCCCCATGAGATTTGACAAAGTTACAACATTCAGCCACCCTACAAGAAAACAAAAATCATGCAGATTCAACGTCAGAAGCGTCATCAAGTCCCTCTTTATACAGCTCAAAATCGTCGGAGCTCCATCTGCAGATTAGGTGAAGCTTGAAGGTAGCCATCTTGATGCCCAATAGTCTCTGCATAGAAGATGATAAAAGTTCATTCAATCCACTTTACTTGATTCGGAAAAAAACCAATAAATACAATAACAATTAGTTATGCATCTTGAACACAGGCAAACAACATTTCATCATTCATAATGGGCCTCTATTTTGTAACCTATACCAGATGACAACATCATAGAAAGAGAGAACTTAAGTGTTGTTACTTGAAATGAAAGCAATAAGCCCGTCCGAATTGAAGGGGGGGTAACAAAGTACCAAACAACAAAGATACGCGAGACAAACTAAAAGGTGTAACTAACCAGTATGCGGGCTGATTCAGGTGACAAAGGCTTTCCTTCTTCACAGACAACAAAGTCTGAAATAAGCTCCACAACACCTACAGGCCAACACGAATTGTGTCAGGAGGGAGTTCACAGTACTAACACAGACTCACAGCCTACAGAGAAATTAAAAAGACTATTGCTACATACCCTTGTTTAACCGGACAGGAAGGCCTTGTTTGCGCAGAAAAGGCTCCATTTCATGAGTAAATTGCTCCAGAGGCCCTTCGTTCAGTTCTACCTGAACAACGAAACATTGTGTCAGCAAATGGGGCAGTAAGCATATTTTAATTTTTCCAGTACAACACTCGATCAGAATATGGTTTAGCCTAGTGACATGGCCAACTAAATCTAAATGCTCAGACCTTTTCAGTGGCATTAGTGCCGGTCCTTGCAAAGTCATAATCTTCATATTCACGGAATAACCTGCAAGACAAAGCAGCAGCCGTAAGAACTAAGGATATCTAATTTTTGTTGATTGAGTGAAAGAGTAGTGACCAACTAAAGTACCCATGCCCAAAGTATATAACTGCCAAAACCAAACTACTGGATATAAATGCACTGACTAAAGTTCCTTAGAGCAAGCTACATACAGGCATCCCTATAAGTTCATTCAACTGGGTGTATCCTTGAAAACAAACTACGAGATGCAACATAGGATTCTTTGTACACTCTAATGCAGCATTAGACTTCCCAGTAACGTCAGGGTCTTATATTGTCATGGTAGACCTCATTATTAAGTATAGGCTCTTAGTGAACAAGCAGCCCAGCAATCATAAAGAGAGGCCAATACCTTTCAACCTCTTCTTTGGGCAAATTGGTAGCCATCAGACCAGAATCCCCACGCAGAAGCTGTGAACAGAAAGATGAACACTGCTCAACAAACAAACTTCTGCATAGAGCAATGAAGCTCCTTTACCGCTTTTATCTCAACCATAAAAGCACAAAACATGTAGTCCGGTGAATCAAGAGTAAAAGCACACCTTAGATACTTTACGGATCCCCGGTCTCAACTCATCACCAGCAGATCGACCAAGAGCAACCTGCATCACTTTGTTCGACCCAAGGAAGAACCTGTTCAAATAAACACCACGAAATCATCCGGTAAGTGAAACCATGTCCAAAATTATCCGGCTAGCGCAAAGACAAAACTAGCTCCAATCCATGATAAATACAGTAAAGAACTGAACTTTTCTGTGACATTCAGATTACAAGTTCCATGATTTTTTTTCATCCCCAATCGCCATAAGGCTTTGACTTCCCGTCACAAACAGAGCACAACAACAACCAACTAGCAACAGAGTTATTTTTTTTTTTACCTGCTGCTGGACTTGAGCTGGTCTCTGAATTCCTTGAACTTGAGATTCCTCATGTTCTCATAACCAAACAAGTAGATAGAAGGGTACTTCTCCACTGCTTCCCTTATTCCATTCACAACCCCTTCTTTGTGCTCCCTCCCCTTCTTCTTCGTCTTCGATAGTGTAACTACAATTTTTCCCCCCCAAAAATGAGAAAACAGACATCGCAAAAATCCACCAATTCAAAAAAAATTCTAGCAGATGGGACGAGGATGCAGACCTGCACGGTTGCGCTTGGACTTCGGCATGATTACGCGGCGGAGGTAACAGACGGCGGATTTATTCTCCCCCCCTCCGGCTTCGAAAGCTTCCGGCGGCTGCTAAAACTTCTCTAGGGTTCTGGCCTTTTCGTATTCTCTTCTTCTTCTCCCGCCGTCGCTTAATTAAGTTCGCTTTGCTCGTTTATTTTAAATGGTTAGAATTACAGATTTGGCCTTCGTTTCCGAAACCTTAATCAATTGCCCCTCTTACTTTCTATTTATTTCACAGACATCCTTCCACTGGTCAATGGAGGATTCGAGCCCAGTAGTGGGCTCCGAATCTGGCCCAGTAGTCGGCCACGTACTCTGGCCCAACCCAGCTAAAACTTGCTCTCTTTTTTCTCCTTCCAATTGCCCCTCGTACTTTCTATTTATTTCAAAGACACCCTTCCAAGTTCCACCGGTGACGATGCCACAATCACAATTTACAAGTTATATATATATATGTTCACAATGACAATATAAAAAAGATTGGAAATGAAAGTATTCCATAACAAAAAAAAAAAAAAAAAAAATACTCATATCAAGAAAATATTATCACAAGATAGAATATAATTGTTTGACAATCTTATTATCAAAAGGGAGACATTAAACTATTCTCCTCAAACATAAACAGTGACCAACCACTGACAACAACAACATTACTAATAATCGTTCACATCAGACGACTCGAACATGAAATTATTCCAGTTCACAAACACTGGATTATTGAATAATAATAATAATAATATCATGGCACACCACCATGCATGCATGCACGTAGCCATTGCTAGGGCAACAGCCACAAAAAAACACCACTGGATCTTCTACTTCTTCTCCATGGCCTCAACAGCTACTTCCTCCTCATCACCATCATCATCCTCCTCATCGGAATCAGTATCATCCTCGTCGTCGTCCGACTCGAAGTCGCCGACAGCGGAGACGAAACCGTCATGGGCGACGTAGATCGTCACCTTGGTCTGCGGCAGGCCGTCCTTGGAGTAAAACCACTTCCTCCCTCCATAAAGGCCAGCAATCCCCGAACCAGCCTCAGCAGTCTTGTTGTTGTCGTCAGTTTCTTCACGTTCGAGGGCGACGAAGAGACGGAGGGCGACGTCGGCGATCTTGTCCACGATGGCGACTTTGTCCTCCGGGTCCGGGATCTTCATGGGGAGGAAGGACTCGACCATCTTGCGCACGTGCGGCATCGCGCTGTCCTCGTTCAGCATCGGCTCGAACGGGAGGGTGAACACGCGCTCGGCCTCGCGGGTGACGGGGGCGCCGTTGGGGCCGGTGGCGGTGGTCACGATGGCCACCACTTTGAGGTGGAAGCTCTTGGTCGCGCCGTTGCCGTTGCTGCCTGATGCCGCCGCCGCCATGATGTGAGAGATGTGTGACGATGGTGTACGTTGTTGATGTAATTAATGTGGATTAATGTGTGGCGCGGGGTGGTAAGGAAGAACGACGGTGGGTTTTATAGGACGATGAGGCACCGTTTCGTGATGCGATGCGATGGTTGGGAGATGGACACGTAGGGATTTGCGGTTGCATGGAGCGGTTGATTCATTTTGAAGGCAATAGGAGAGACGAGTTTCAATAACTGTCAGTTGTTTGAGGGGGCAGGGCGGGAATTACAAACAAACTCTTACAAAAAAAAAAAACCTAACGTTTGGAGTTTTTTTTCCCCAACTGATATCACTGGTGTATGTTTCACGATTGAATAACTCGAGTTATTGGGACCAATTGGTTTACGACATGGTATCAGAGCTTTATGTTTGACGGGAAGCTGGTTTTGTGTTCAAATCCCGGTGACCCCCCGTTTGTGAAGCACATGGTATCGTGTATTCGGACCTGTGCCAACGAAAAGCCATGTGCGGTGACTGGTTTTTCGTTTGAGGTGGTGTGTTAGTGAATGGTATATGATCCACAATTGAACCTCTCCCTACAACTCGAGTTATTAGGACATAGACGGAGCTAGCCCAGTTGGGCCTTGTCACGGGACAGGGGTAAATTTCGGGAGGAACAAAAATACTCTATATATGTTTATGCTTGTTAAGGATGGAACACGACACATAGTACAACGTATTTTGTCACTATATCACAATTCATTACTTGATCATAAATTGACATTAAATTAATTTATTATACTATAAACCAAATATCAATTGGAATATATCTCTTTTCTTCATATGTCTATTCGATTATTTTCCCAACAATTTTGAAGCAGTCCAGTGGTAGCGTAGATTCCACTAGTTTTGACGGCAAGTGTAGATAAAATATTTTCAGCTTTGAGCTATAACAAGAACGAACTCTGAAATCGAATTCGCAACCAGTTTGCTAATGATTGTGTAGTGGGATCCATTGAAAAGGACTTACTTAAGAGTATATTTTATGTTTCTTTAAGAATATGAAAAATCATCATGGTTGTTTATAAATATACGGATTGTATTAGTCTTTATTTTTATATATAAAAATAAATTATTCAGATATTATTAATTTAATTATATTTATTAAATATTTATATATTTATAATACGAAAAAAAGGATAGGGGTAATTTTAAATCCCGCCTCCACCACTATATTAGAATCAATTGGTTTATGACAAACAAGATATCAGAGCCGGTTCGAAGATCCAAAAACCCTAAACACCTTCTTCTCTTTTGTTCGACCGGGCACTCACCATGAGTCCGCATTCTCCCCGAAAATCATGATTGTTTCACCATTGATCTGATCCCTTTCCCTTGTTATTGTTCTTAGTTTTAGGTTTGGAATTTTGAAGAAAAAAAAAAACAAAGAAATCTACGTCTTCCCTTTTATTCCCTTCCCAGAGTCCTTTGTATTTGTTAAGCTGCCTCCGCCACCGATTGAGTTTTTTTGTCCACACCAGAATTTCTACGAGTCTCCCGTTTATTTCGTCAAGTCGGCACACCATGCTAGCTGAGCTACTGTCTATGGAGTACCGACCGAGATTTTGCCACTGCCTGAAGAATTAATCACCATGGTAACGTTTGAATTATTGGACTTTTATTGGTCAATATCTTGGGAATCCTTGAATCATTGATTACTAGCTTTGGTTCACAATTGCTAGTTACGTACGGTGGTTGGATTAGCTACTGTTGTTTGCAGTTTCTCTCCATCAACAGATTTGGCTCTTCGAATTTAGATTAATTGGTTGCGGTAATCAATTGGTGTTGCACAATTGGACGAATTCCTCTCTTGTTATTGGTTTCAATGGTGTTTTGATTGGTTCCCGTATTGGTTACGATGGAGATTAAGAGGGGTTTAAGCTGGAGTTGCATGTTCAAGTCCGTCTCGATTTGGTATAACCATAGGTTTCGTCCCTTTGGTTTTGGAGGTGTTGTTCGGAACACGTTAGTTTGATGATGTTGTTCGGAATATCTTTGTTTGATAAATGCTGTCCGGAGCATTTCTGGTATATTTCTCCGCATTTCGATGATGCTATTTGGAGCATCCTGATCGCCATGTTGCTGTTCGAAGCACTTGGTTTCGTTTATGTTTCGATGATGCTATTCAGAGCATCCTGATCGCCATGTTGTTCGGAGCACGTGGTTCTGTTTATGTGGGAACAAAATTTCCAGGTCGCTGCTCTTTCTTGTGGAGTATCTTCCTTCTTGATCGTCACTTGGTTTTGCCGCTTCCTTCTGTGCGGACTTGTGGCGAATGATCAGTTATTTTGTTGGACACTTGGTTCGACAGACTAGACGACTTTGGCAAAAACTTTTGTTATCTCCAGCTTATCACCATCGACGTTTCACGAGGCATTGGACATGGTCTCCATCGACATAGGTGCATTTGGCGGAACAGTAATGTTTTTCATTGTTTTTTTTTCATATTGTTCGTAGTAATTTGTGTCGGTTCTGTTTCGGTTTTCAAACAGTTGGTAAGTAATTACCATCAATTTGGGGAGGGTATTAGAGTATGTGTAGTACGAGTAGTATTGTGTTATACTACGAGTACTGTTATGTAATTGGTCAGAGTTATATTCCTTATCAGAATCGTAAAGCGTTAGGGTTATTATAGAAGTCAGTCTCTATACTCTATATAAACCCTATGTGATTTCAGTAATAAGACAACAGTTTCCACCGTACTCTGATTTACTAACAAGTTGTTGGGTTCATTTGGCGAGACACAGAACGCCAGAGGATTGCTCTACCCCTTAATCATTAATAATACGAAGAGTTTGAACTCCCAAATCGATCTACAGTATAACCCATCGAAGCCCTGCCTCCCAGGCCACTTCCATACACCATTCCAGTAAACTCAATGTGGGTTTTCGAATCTCTCTCCCCCAAGTTCACCGCAGCGACTTTGATAAATCTTCCATTGCTATCCCGTAAGACTCCACCGCCTGCTGTTCCACCCTGAACCCAACTGTCTAAGAGGCCATCCAACTGTCCTTAATCACTCATTTTGTTTATGCGTCTTTATTTTTAATTTTTGAGTCTCCTTGTCGGATTTATCTGGTTCACTATGGATTGCCACTCTTATTACTAACTTGAAGTTAATAAAAAAAAATTATGATTTCTTTTGTAAGATAGTTTGAATGAGTTCTTAGAACCTTCAGTGATAGATGATATAGATTTGAACTTTTCAGTGATTTATGATTAGTGGTAAATTTATTTGTACTCTATATTATATCTCATTAATGGTTCTATCACCAGTTAAACAATGGCTCTATAATAGTTAACCGTTAAACCATCAATGACCAAGTTTTTCAATTAAAGATCCGATCCGGTTCTGAAAATTTGAGAAATCTTCATATATAATGACTTCGTATTTGCCATAAAGAAATATAGTGTTACATTTCTTTCCATGAACCGTACTACAAGTAGTAAAATGGGGTCGTTGCTGATCTCGACGACAATGCTTGTAACATGGATGATAGCTCAACTGGTGCCGGACTGTTCTCGTTCACCAGAGGGTCTGTCGTGGTGGCTGCCAGTGCTAGGAGTAGCATGATGTCGTGTGTACATTACCTTACAGGCGGGAGTAAAAAACGCATTACGCTAAGTTAAAAAAAAGAAGTAAAATGAGATTTATAACGTAACGACAAACCCTTGCCTGATTCTTGTAGCATTTATTTCTCCATTATTATACTATTATTTATTTATTTATTTTTACTAAGCCAACTAGAAATCACATGATGATCTTATGTCCATGTAATGTAGGATTAACATGTCTACTTTCTTAAGAAGTAAAATTATTCATGGAATAATGCTTGTCACTCTGCCAAATGGAAAAGAGACACCGCTACTCATATATGCATTGTTAAGCTGTCATGTGGAACTTTACTAGCTAACTAATGTCTTGTTGGTTGTCACCTTTGCATACAATCTCGTCTCCATAAGTCAGTTAACCAATATAGTTCATCAAACTCACTTTTATTTCAATCCTACTTTTGTTTTATACGCGGGATCTTGTCTCTCAACAAAGAATTGGTTCAATTCGAGCAGACAAGAGATTGTACATTCTTGGAGATACACATACAAACACCAACACACCCGCCCTTTCCATTCATACAAACACCTCTTTAGAGGAGTCAGACTTTTATGCTGTTGATATGACTTGAATCGGACTATCAGCCGCTACGACTGGTAATCGGGGGTCTCGTCCCCGGCCCACGGTTCTGGGCCTGGTCTGTAACCGTTTCTTTTGTCAGATTGGATTAGGTTTAGACCCACATGGAGAAGTACTATAAATACTTCTCATACTCCTCTGTAATCTGTAATCTCCTCGATATAGTGAAACTGGCTCTCTCTCGCCCGTGGACTAGCTAACATACATCGTGTTAGTGAACCACGTAAATCGTGTGTCTGTGTTCTTTCGATTCTCGCTCTCGTATTCTTGCTTTGTCGATTCCGGCGATTTCCCGATGCGTAGCAGCGCGTTTATAACATATGCAAAACATGGCATTATACATTAGGTGAGTTTTATTTGGATAGCTCAACAGAATGAAATAGTGGAGAGAAAACACCAAAACTTGTTAATGGTGCTAAGTCTCTTAAATTTTCAGAGTGGATTGCCTATAAGCTTCTGGAGCTACTTTTTATTGCATGTTGCATATTTGATATACTTGACACCAACTCCTATTCTTGACAACAAAACTTATTTAGAGAAATTGTTTGAAGTAACTATACCAGTTTGAGAGTATTTGGATGCCAAGCATATTCTAGCAACCTGGATCCTGACAAAATCAATTGTTCTCTCAGAGCAAAGAAGGCAGTTTTCCTTGGTATCAAGCAGATAGACCTCGTTGAGTCTAATGATGAAAACTAGACAACATATTAACATGTTTCGTCGAAAACTTGTAAGTGCCATTGGAAGTTGAAATAACCATAACATGGAAACAAACTTAACTACAAGTAAATGTTTCACGCATTGACGACAAACAAACAGTGTTTCACTAACAACGAGTTTTTTCAAACATAAAAAACTTCGAATTGCATGAAAATATCCCACCATATATAATATATAATACCCATATCAAGCATATATAATATAATTGTTTGACCATCTTATTATCAAAAGCCAGACCATATAACGGTTCTCATTACACATAAACAGTGACCAACCACTGACAACAACAACAACAACATCACTATTAGTCGTTCCACATAACAAACGACGACCCGAACATGAAATTCCAGTTCTCGAAACACTGAATCATTGGACACAAACAGACATAATACTAGCGCCATAGTCTTTCCATAGGTAATAATAATGATGATAATAATAATAATAGCATAGCACACCACCATGCACGTAGGCCATCGCTAGGGCAACAGCCACTGGATCTTCTACTTCTTCTCCATCGCCTCAACACCTTCTTCCTCCTCATCACCATCCTCATCATCAGAATCAGTATCATCCTCGTCGTCATCCGACTCGAAGTCGCCGACAACGGAGACGAAACCATCATGGGCGACGTAGATCGTCACCTTGGTCTGCGGCAGTCCGTCCTTGGAGTAAAACCACTTCCTCTCTCCATAAAGGCCAGCAATCCCCGAACCAGCCTCAGCAGCTACATCAGTCTTGTTGTTGTTCTTCTTGTCGATTTCTTCACGTTCGAGGGCGACGAAGAGACGGAGGGCGACGTCGGCGATCTTGTCCACGATGGCGACTTTGTCCTCGGGGTCCGGGATCTTCATGGGGAGGAACGACTCGACCATCTTGCGCACGTGCGGCAGCGCTGTGTCCTCGTTCAGCATCGGCTCGAGCGGAAGGGTGAACATGCGCTCGTCCTCCTGAGTGACGAGCGCGCCGTTGGGGCCGGTGGCGGTGGTCACGATGGCCACCACTTTCAGGTGGAAGTTTTTGGTCGCGCCGTTGCCGTTGCTGCCTGATGCCGCCGCCGCCATGGTGTGGAGGATGATGTGAGTGTTTGTGTGACGGTGAAGTGTTGTTTGTGCAATGTGAAAAATTGTGTGGCGCGGGGTGTGGAGAAGGAACGAGGGTGAGTTTTATAGAGCGAGGAGGCGGCGTTTCGTGATGCGATGCGATGGATTTGACGAGTACGGTTACGTGCATGCATGCAGCGGTTGATTCATTTTTGGAGGGAATATTAGTAATGGGTTTTCAAACTGCAGTCACTAGTTTGAGCGGCAGGGCGGGAATTACAAACTAAATTTTGATAGATACCGTACGTTACGTTTGGAGTTTTTATTTAACAAATTGTATAAGGACCAAATCGGATCGGTTTTGAACCGGTAGAATCATTAAATCAATTACATATAGTGGTTGGGTTCATTTTGATTGGAGGTTAGGGTCTTAGGGATGAACCGAACGGTGCATTGCGTTATGATATATTTTGTGAGATAGTTTGAATGCTTTGTTTGAACTTTTTCGATGATATAGATGATATGGATTGAATTTTTCTTATGGATATTGATAAATTCACTACTAATTTTTTGTATAGTATTCGTCTTTTATATTATAGTGCATTAATAGTTCTATCAACGATTATATAACTAAAACCTTGAAACCATCAACCATCAACCTTTTGGGTTAAACATTAGGTCCTATTGGATTCTGAAAAAATTGAAAATCTTCATAGTGACTTCATATTTCACAAAAAGAAATATAGTGTTACATTTCTTCCCATGAACCGTACTACAAGTAGTAAAATGGGATCGTTGCCAATAGTAGCATGATGTCACGCGTGCATTACGTTACATGTGGGAGTGAAATATACGTTACGGTAAGTTAAAAAGAAGTCAAATGAGCGTTACGTACGTAACTGTAAGTTAAAAAAAAAATTATAATTAATTTGTTCCTTTTTTATTTCATTCTTTCATTATTTTTTTTACCTAACTATCATAGCATTTCTTTCTTCATTATTATATTATTAATGAATTATTTATCTATTTATTTCGACTAAGCCAACTAGCCATCACATGATGATCTGGATGTCCATGTAATGTAGGATTAGCATGTCTCTTTGCTTAAGATGTAAACATATTCATGTAATCCTTGTCACTCTACCAAATGGAAAACAAATATCAGCTACTCTTATATGCATTTTTAGGCTGTCATGTGAAACTTTACTCATTAGTGTCTTGTTGGTTTCTACTTTTGCATACAATCTTATCTCCATAAGTCAGTTAACCAAGAGTTCACCAGTCTCACTTTTATTTCAATCCCACTTTTGTTTTGTACATGACCTTGCCTCTCAATGGAAGATTGGTTCAATCAGAATAGACAAAGGATTGTACATTCTTGGAGATACACATACTAACACCAACACTTCATACAAACACCGATTTACAGGAGTCAGACTTGTGGCATATGAGACTAGGGGGTCGTTTGGATGAACCATTCTTAAAATGATACAATTTGAGTCAAATGACTCATTTTGAAAAATGAGTCAATTGGATGAGGAAATTTTCCCAGAATGTGTCGTTTAGGAATGGGTTGTGAGATGGGGAAATGTGTTCGAGTACATACAATTTTACCCCTGTCTTCTACAAGTTTCTCTTCCTCTGTTTTGCTGCAAATTTTTGGACCTTTTCTGGATTTTATTTCTGGATAGTTCTCAGGCAATCCCCTCGAGTCATCATCCATAAAACTATAATCGACAATTAGAGCATATTCAATAGTGCCAAATTGAAATTATATATATATCTGATTCACTAAATCTAACAAATCAAAATTTCAATTATAACAAACCACAATCAGAAAAGAAGATTATTTGTTAAAGCTAAATCTAGGTTTCAACTCCAGCTAACTACAAACCCATTTTATCAAACACCTTGCATGCACATAAAAAAAACTTGTTGGCTATTCATTGGTGATGGCTCACAATGAAGAAAAATAAGATTGAGCTCTTCTTTGACTTCTTCTTCGCTCGTTCATCTTCATCCCTACCACAAAGTTGACTTTCTCATAGTCAGTTGAAGAAATAGGTTGTAGGGGAAGAAAAATCTAGCTTCTGAGAACTCGATTTTTTGGAGAAAAGGAAATTGCTAATCTAAAATAGAAAGAGTGGGTAAAGACAAAGATCAACCTCTCAAAACTCGAACTCAATTAATCACTTTCTCCAAAAAGCGCTTCTCTATTCTTTTCTTTGTCCGTCGGCCTACATCCAACCTTTGATTCTTCTTGGCTCTGTCCTATTTGGGTCTCGTCATCGAAGCCTAGATCAAAAAGTCTGCAAAAAATTGGAAGTGACTAGACCAACGATACTATTACGTTAACCGTTGAACCATGAACCACCAACTTTCCCAATTAACCATCTGGTCTGGTTTTGAAAACACCAACAAATCCTCATAGTGACTTCATATTTGGAAAAAAAGAAATATAGTGCTACATTTCTTTCCATGAATCGTACTACAAGTAGTAAATGGGGTCGTTGCTGATCTTGACGACCATGCTTGTTCATGGATGGGAGCTCAGCCGGTGTTGGGTGGATTGTTCTCGTTCACCAGAGGATTGGTCATGGTGGCTGCAAGCCAGTAGTAGCTAGCCTGATGTAGTGCGTAAGGAACCGGGTTAGAACACCTTCAATGTTGCTACTAACTCCGAGCTCAAACTTGTATTACATAAACCAATTAGAGTCTCCTCTGGCATACCCTTACACATGTTCCCTAGCCTTAGGAACTCTGCCATGGTACCTGACTGTCTTAGTTTAGCTATCTACTCCGACATCCATTCCTCGATCTGACTCCCCAAACTGGTACGTCAGCTCTTCCTTGAAGAGAGGCCAAGTGATCAATACTCTGCCTCTGCAAAAGAATCAATAGTCCATCCACTCCCACCATTGAAGGGCATCTTCCTCTAAATAGAAAGACGCCAGGTGTGCCTTCCTCTCCTCTACAGTGGGATGGTTTCTGAACGCCTATCTCTAGCATAAATCCATGATCCAACATCCTCATGGCCCTTGAATTTTGGAAACTCAATGGTCAAGGGTCTAGATCTAAAAAAACCAGTTCATCCTCACCCTCATACATAGAGTTATAGCCGTCATACCTGCCAATATCGTGACTACCACGCCGACCTTTCTCTCTGATGCTGCAATCCTGATTCCTAATGGGCTTACTATCAAAGCCTCAGTCGTCGACCTCGTCACTCAATCCTCCATTTCCATTTCCAGCTCCTAATCCTTGATCCACCTCCCACTGCCTTCCGAACGTTGGCGTTTCAGTGTAGCCAGAGGAGGATACACAACATCAGAAGCGACTCTCATACTCTTCCACTGACCCAGTCGGCCCGATCACCCCCACTGATGGTCAATTCGAGTTTGCACGGTCTCACTTCAATATGAAATGGTTCGATGCAAATTGGTTCGATTCGATCCCCCATTTCGGTGAGATCCACTCCTCCGAGAGCTAGCCAGTTGGGGTAGCTAGTCTCGGCTGAGTTGCTCACTTCTTGGGTCAAACTTGATCCATTCCTTGCTCTCATCATTCAAGGTCATCTCTTTCACAATTCAGGCCCATTGACCAGCATGTACGTGGCTCGGCCCACTGAAACAAACTTAATTAAATTACATATATGTTCACAATGACAACAAACGTCTCTCTAACAATCCAACTTTTTCAATATTTATGAAAACATTCCACAACAATGATAATACCCCATATCAAGCATATTTTGTCACAATACATAATTGTTCGACCATCTTATTATAACAATGGAGACATTAACTATTCTCCTCATACATAAAACAGTGACCAACCACTGACAACAACATCACTCCCAATCGTTCACATTACAAACGACGACCCGAAACAACAAACCCCAGTTTTCGAAACACTGGATAATTATTGAACACAAACAGACATAGTTTTAGTAATAGATAATAATATCATGGCACACCACCATGCATGCATGCACGTAGCCATTGCTAGGGCAACAGCCACAAAAAAAACACCACTCGATCTTCTACTTCTTCTCCATGGCCTCGACGCCACCTTCCTCCTCACCATCATCCTCCTCATCGGAATCAGTATCATCCTCGTCGTCCTCCGACTCGAAGTCGCCAACAGCGGAGACGAAACCATCATGGGCGACGTAGATCGTCACCTTGGTCTGCGGCAGTCCGTCCTTGGAGTAAAACCACTTCCTCTCCGCATCAAAGCCAGCAATCCCCGAACCAGCCTCAGCAGCTACATCAGTCTTATTGTTGTTGTTGTTGTCAGTTTCTTCACGTTCGAGGGCGACGAAGAGACGGAGGGCGACGTCGGCGATCTTGTCCACGATGGCGACTTTGTCCTCGGGGTCCGGGATCTTCATGGGGAGGAACGACTCGACCATCTTGCGCACGTGCGGCATCGCTGTGTCCTCGTTCAGCATCGGCTCGAGCGGGAGGGTGAACATGCGCTCGGCCTCCTTCGTGACGAGCGCGCCGTTGGGGCCGGTGGCGGTGGTCACGATCGCTACCACTTTTAGGTGGAAGTTCTTGTTGGTCGCGCCGCTGCCTGCCGCCGCCGCCGCCATGGTGTGGAGGATGATGTGAATGTTTGTGTGACGATGAAGTGATGTTAACGTAGGGAATTATGTGGCGCGGGGTGGGAAGAGGCCGGACGGCGGTGGGTTTTTATAGAGCGGACGAAGCACCGTTTCGCGGTGCGACGCGATGGTTGGAGAGATGTGGGAGATGGACGTATGGGATTTGCCGCGAACGGTTACATGCATGCAGCGGTTGATTCATTTTGAAGGGAATAATGGTCAATAGTTTGAGCGGGAGTGCGGGTAAAACAAAAAATTTTAAAAATTACCTAACATTTGAAGTTTTTTAACGAATGACCAAATCGGATCACCACTAATTCAGTAACAATGATTGTTCGGTTGATTTTTGTCTTTTATATTAAAGTGCATCAACGGTTCTATCAACGATTAATAGGCGGCTCCATAACGGTTAACCGTCGAATCATCAACTTTTCCGGTTAAGAATCTGGTCCGAGTCTAAAAACATTGACAAATCTTCATAGTGACTTCATGATAAACCCTAGATACGGCCTTATGATCAGAGTTGAGCAATTGAGAATCAAATTGAGCTCCTAGCTCAATTCCTCGAACAGAAACATGGTTAAAGTGATGAATGTGAATGGAACTTCGTGCAATTCTCGCAATGGGAGAAAGACTCGAAGCTTAGGGTAGAAGCTTGGCCATGAATCAGCGTGACTAGCTGATCGATACAAGCGCTTGATTGCTTAGAATCCTCCAAGAAATCTAACTCAATTCCTCCAGCAAACTTGCGAGATGAATCAAAGCTCAATTTTGTATTCGATGAACAAAAAACTGACGATTTACATTGTAGACGAGAGTTTAAATAGACTAACTAATCTTACAATACAAGTAAAGAATATCCTAAACATGCTATAACTCAAATAGAAACAAATTCTAATTGGAAAAGGAAATTAAAACAAACAGAGGCAGAATCCTAATCTGTCTCGGATTTGGATTGCTCTTCCTCCAACAAGTGTTGATACGATCTTGAAGCTTCTCGTTCGAGCACTCCCAGGGATCAAACTCATCACCCAATCCCAAGTCGTTGTAGAAGAAGATGCGTGATCTCATGGATGACAACCCATGAATCTCGACTCTCTTTCCTGCTCCTCGACGAGAGCTCCAAAGATGACTCCTCCCTCCCAATCCCATATATAGCCAAATCTGGCTGTCTTGCCAGTGTCGAGCTAGCATCTTGATCGTCCCGGAAAGCCATCTTCTGGATCTCAGCTCGAGCTCCAAAACACTTCATTCTAACAAACAGCTCTCCCTCTTCAAAACAAGCCCAAGAACCCAAGTTTTCACCAAGCCAATTGCGAATTATGCTCATCCAAAGTTGACACATGAAACTATCAAAAACACTTAGGCAAAAAATCAGTGTTCTTCAACGTGCCTAGCTTGCCTTCATGATCGATCAATTCCATTCGTATTAATGTCTAAATTGAGATCATATCAGTCCCTCCCCCATAAAAAAGCTTTGACCTCAAAGCTTTGGCCTTCCGTGTCTCATATTCATCAGAGAATCGCTCCCAAATTGGAACGTAAGATGGCAGCTTGAACTAGAAGTTCTGGCCAACTTCGTCAATGTTCGTCATACTCAAAATTGGGGCTTTCTTCCTCACGGATCTACAGCACAATTCAAGGCCACCATTAGCTTCGCCTACCTTCGAATTGAAATTCTGGGCCGGTTTCAACCTTTGAATCATCGTCTCTGTCATTGAATCGTGATTTCCTGATTTCCAGCCACTGTCGAAGTTTGAACTCTTCGAACCCAGAAATTGCAATTGAGATTTGGGGGTTTTTATGCAAGCGCCTCCGGTCGAATTGAATCGTTCGTACAGCTTCCTGGATCGATAACGATTGATTTTGCATCAGCCGTTTGGATCGAATCACCGCCAATGAGTCCACCCAATAAGCTCGAATTTCCTTAGAATTTTGCCGTTTTCAGAGCACTTTTGGGTCGAATTGAATTCAGCCATTCAGGTACCGTCGTTCCAATGGAAGGTGCGGATGAGCTTCCTGGGGAAATTTGGAGTGTACCCTCAATTTCGGTGAGGCTCGATGCTTCGCAGATCACCCCAACCAATTCCACCTCTCTCCTGCCCTGTTTCGTCGCCGTTGAACAGGATCGTCGACAATGGGGTGCTCTGGATTTCTTGTACCCAGTAAACATCAGCTTCTGGAGCATGCTATTACTTACTTTTCTAATTGTTTTTAATCTCATTTTTTGAATATTCCCTTACCTAATTACAGTAGCATTTATTTCTTCTTAAGGCATTGTTAAGCTGCCTTGTGGAATTTCTACTCGCTAATGTCTTGTTATTGGTTTCCACTTTTTGCGTACAGTCTTGTCTCCATACGATAGTAAAACAAGAGTTCTAGCAGACTTTCTTTTATTTCAATAGGATAAACAGCACTGTGACAAACATACATAACCTCTTTTTTTTCCTGAGTCAGATAGTAAAAGCATTTTTTTTTTGTTTCATGTTCATCGAAATTTTTTAAGTGCATTTGGCAGTTGCTATAATTATAACATGGAAACAAACTTAACTACATGTATATGTTCACAATGCCAACAAACATTTCTCCAACAACAAGTTTTTTCACCATAAAAAAAACTTGGGAATTGCATGAAAATATTCCACTCCAATAATACCCATATCAAGCATATACCATCACAACATAGAATTGTTCGACCAGCTTATTATAAAAATGGAGACATTAACTATTCTCCTCATTACATAAACAGTGACCAACCACTGACACAACATCACTACCAATCGTTCACATTACAAACGACGACCCGAAACAACAAACCCCAGTTGACCAGTTCACCAAACACTGGATTATTATTGAAACACAAAAAAACAGAAACAGTTTTAGTAATAATAATAATATCATGGCACACCGGCCACCATGCATGCACGTAGCCATTGCTAGGGCAACAGCCACCACAACAACAACACCATCACCACTCGATCTTCTACTTCTTCGTCTCCATAGCCTCAACACCACCGTCTTCCTCCTCCTCCTCTTCCTCGTCCTCGTCATCCTCCTCATCATCAGAATCATCAGTATCGTCCTCGTCGTCATCCAACTCGAAGTCGCCGACAACGGAGACGAAACCATCCTGGGCGACGTAGATCGTCACTTTGGTCATCGGCAGTCCATCCTTGGCGTAAAACCACCTCCTCTCCAAACCAAGGCTCGCAGCCCCGGCCGAACCAGAACCAGAACCAGAACCACCACCAGCAGAAGTCTTGTTGTTGTTCTTGTTGTCAATTTCGTCACCTTCGAGGGCGACGAAGAGACGGAGGGCGACGTCGGCGACCTTGTCCACGATGGCGACGTTGTCCTCGGGGTCCGGGATCTTCATGGGGAGGAAGGACTCGACAATCTTGCGCACGTACGGCGTCGCGCTGTCCTCGTTCAGCATCGGCTCGAGCGGGAGGGTGAACACGCGCTCGGCCTCGCGGGTGACGGGGGCGCCGCCGTTGGGGCCCGTGGCGGTGGTCACGATCGCCACCACGTTCAGGTGGAAGTACTTGTTCCCGTTGCCGTTGCTGCCTGATGCCGCCGCCGCCATGATGTGAAAGTTTGTGTGACGATGATGTGTTGTAATGTGAAATATTGTGTGGCGTGAGGGTGTGAAGAGGCAACAACGGTGGGTTTTATAGAGCGATGAAGCAGCGTTTCGTGATGCGGTACTATGGGATTTGCCCGCGCACGGTTACATGCATGCAAGCGGTTGATTCAATTTGAAGGAAATAGAGTAATGACTAATGAGTTTCAATAACTGTTGAGCGGTAGGGCGGGAAAGACAAATAATTTTATTTAAAATAATAATAATAATAATAATAATAATAATAATAATGGCTTACGTTTTGAAGTTTTCTAACAAGAAAGAAACAGATCAGATCAGTGGTTGGGCCAGTAGAATATATGTAACCACTAAATCAGATAAAACATCTATTTGATTCATTTGATTGGATGGTTGGAGATTAACCAAACGATTTTAAACGGTTTGACATGACAGTAGATGAACCATCACGATTTGACTGGTCCGTACTGGTTGACTACTTTAACCACAAAAGATTGAGAACAAAAAATACATTAATCGTAAACTAGTTCAAAACCATCCAACTTTTAATCACTAATTTTGTTTATGCTTCCTTTTATTTAATCTTCCATCCTCCTTGTCAGATTTATTTTTTTGTTTCTCTATGGATTGTCATTCTTATTATTGACATAAATTTATTACAAAAAATGTTGAATTCTTTTGTGAGATAGTTTGAATGATTTGTTAGAACTTTTCGGTGATAGATGATATGAATTTGAATTGTTTGAATTTCAAAGCCAAGTGAGGCATCCTGGTCGTTACTATTCCCTAGCAAGAGAGTCGTTGATGTTAGTAGAGAGGGGGAGAGCTTCTTTCTGTCGGTTCCCAAGGGATTTTCTTTGTGGTGGGACCCTTGACACACGTGTCCCACCAGGTGTGTCAATTTGTTTTCGCGACCAGAAAATCTAGATGAATAGAATTGAATTGCACCTTTTGACTTCCAAACAAACGATTGAACAACACAGTTCACACCTCTTTGAACAAAGTTCAAACAAGGGTGTTCAATATTCTGATAACTATGAGACAGATCTACATTAACTTAGCCCTACTCCTATGGAGGTTCAGTGAGGCTCCACATCTACAACTATGGCTAAATTTGCAGAGGAAAAGATAAAAGTATAAAAATTGACATTGTGTTGTCTGGCGTGATTTTGGAGAACCTCTCCACTGTTGTCTTCACCTTCTATTTATAGCCACAAGAAGTAACTGCTTTCAAAAAGCGCTCTGCTGAAGTGGAGTGACGGTTACTCTCTTTAACTGCTCCACTGATGCCCTAACGATGGTAGTGCCCTCCTCTTGAGACTTCATTCCCTACTCTTGGTATCTTCTCCGTAGCTTTGCTTGTCTGTAGAGAAAAATTGTTAAGGCATGAAAGGGTGACCCATTGCCACTTGACTCCCCCTTGTATGATCACCTCATGGGGGTCGTACGTTGATGACCCACCCTGACCACCTCACGGGGGTGTAAGTTGATCACCTCATGGGGGTGTTCCTTGCCTTTGCCACATTCGACCATCCAACTCCACCTACATTATGATGATCACCCCCTGATCATACCATGGGGGCACCATCATTCTCCATTCTTAGTCATATTTCACTTCATGGTATTGCATCCCATGGGAGTGTTGGTATGGTGGCCACCCCCCTTACCACATCATGGGGGTGGCAGTATGATGCCCACGTTGGTATGTGGCCACCCCCCGGCATGTCATGGGGTGGCGGTATGTGGCCACCCCCCTCGGCACGTCATGGGGGTGGTGGTATGTGGCCACCCCCCTCGGCACGTCATGGGGGTGGTGGTATGTGGCTACCCCCTCGACATGTCATGGGGGTGGCTCCAGCACTCCTTGCCTTAGCCAAATTCGCTCATCTCCCCCCTCACTACGTCATGGGGGTGACAGTATGATGCCCACCCCCTTACCTAGTCCACCCTTACCACGTCCTGGGGGGTGGCTGTATGGTGCCCACCCTCTATACCACGTCCTGGGGGTGTGTAACACCCCACCCTAAAATCATGGGTCGAACCAATGGTTCAACCGCGCAGCGGAAAACACTCGGGGTTTACGTTTTCAAAATCTTGACTCAACTGACATCCACATCATTCTCATATGTTTAAAATTCAACTCATCATAACAATTACTAAAAATCATATTCTCAATTCATTAATCCATCTTCGTCAAATTCAGGATTCACCAAACCCATACTATCAGTCTTATCTACTCCGTTCATACTCAACTCAAGTTAATGATCATACATGACCATTGTAAACTATCATGCATGCTCAAAACCAGAATCGTAAAAATAAGGATTTCGAAGTACATCAATATGTGAAAAACCTTTTAAACCAAAATCCTCCATCGATCATTGTGTAGTGCCAGAGTCATCCTCAATTTATCACACCTGTCACATCTAGAAAGAAAAATGGGTCAGCTACTAAGCTGAGTGTGTGGACCTGGCCTATACGGCAAAACTATTGTTAGCATGCCATCACACCATCACATCTTGTTGATTAAGAACACATCATCAACAAATTATCATGCCACACGAAAATCTCATTAATCTCTAGATTTATTTCTAGGTCATCAATCCAAATTCGTCTTTAACCCAATTCCTCATGGTATGGCTTTCATTAATCAAGTCGTATATCGACATAAAATCGTAAACTTACCTCAACTCATGAATCCATAATATCAATCCTTCATTCAAAGTAAACTCATCATTTAAGCATCAAGCATGTCAATCATTCATCCATAATCAAATCACCAATTTGGAATTAACCATATCAATCATTCATCCATAATCAAATCACCAATTTGGCATTAACCATATCAATCATTCATCCATAATCAAATCACCAATATGGCATTAACCATATCAATCTTTCAATCAATCATCAATCGAATATAACTTCACGATTTCCTTTGTGGAAATCATCTCCATCATATATATCATATGCAATGCATGAAATGCAGACTCTCCATTTATTATTAATTTGCGCGCTAAGGTCACCATACGCCCACCCCGCTCGAGCTCATCATCTCAGTGGTTATATCAAAAACCACAATCTCATCCAATCTAGGATTATCATAAATCCTTTCATCAGGACCGCAGCCCAATCCATCTCATAGGGGTAGGCATAGGCCCTTCTATGTCTATGTGATTTAACATGATCAAACAATATCAATTTCTCTCTTCCATCATATCTCAATCGATCCAAGAAATCAATAGCGTCCCATTGATATTCCCAGTCCATGCATATCTCACATCATCTATGCATACTTTGATGCATTGCATGATCTCAATATAATCATCATCTTCTCAATGATATAAGTAATTCATTCTCTTCAATCAAACGTGACAAATCTACCAAGTACTCAATTTATCAATACTTCATTCACTCATCGTAACCATTTAACACATCAAATACAAATCGATCATGATAATATTTCATCCGCATCATCATTAATCAAAACATTCATCATATCAACGTTGTCACAAAATATCTCAGTAATATTTATAATTACCAATCACATTTATACCAAACGATATTCTAATCACGTCATAATCATACACGTCAATCGCATCACTAGCAATCAATATCCGTATCATCATCATCATCATCATCATATCATAATCATATATCATGAACAATATAATTTCATTCATCATAAATCATTTTATCATACGAACCATATAATCTAAAATACATCGGTTTATCCATATCTTCCATTAATTAATTATAACAAAATAGCAACTAAATATATTATGATCAAAATCTCATCTTCATGAATTTCTATTAATCACTTGAAACCATTCTAAGGACCATACTCATATATATAATTCTCATGATTATCAAAGTTCATTTGAAAAGGTCTCCCCTAATAACACATCTCTCAATAATTATTTCTTAAAGTACAAACTAAATCATAGTTCGTCATGATTCATTAATAAGACTATTTTCAATATTTCAATTAAATACTCAATTAACCATTTCTCAAAATTAATCATAAAACGTAAATCAAATTAAATCCAAGATAAAATTACTCATGGTAATCACTTTGAACTCACACTCTAATTTAAATAATTTTCTCTTAATCACCACTATTCTGAAAATCATAATACGTTCCCTTTAATAACGAAACCACGTAGAAACCGATTTCATCCATCAACAAATCCAACAAATATCACAAATCCTTTGATGTAATTATTCTGACCAGAATTCCTTCTCATATACTAATCCAATTTATAAATTCCCAATTTCACCCTTTTAACGTCATAACTTCAATTAATTCCGCAAAGTCAATTATTACCAATATAATCATTGTCATGATAATATATCATGACTAATTTCGTCTCAAGATTCCTCAAATTTCCTTTCCTTATTCTGATCTCAGTAGACCTTTTCGGAAAATATTCGGAGTTCACCAAATACATCAACAATTCCAATACGAGATTAATAATAATAATTATCATAACAATCAGTTAACTTCATCAATAATTTCATCCAAGGTCACAACCATGAACCAATCACAAATCCATCATAATCATTAATCATCAAATCAATCATGCGTATTTAGAAATAAACACGTAATTCCGGTTCCCTTTTACCGTAAGCCCACACACCTTATTTATGACGAAATCCGATTCTGTGAAAGCTCAGGAAATTCCATATCTTGGTTTCAAAATATTCTCCTCGTTCTCACGATCCTGTAGGTGAAGACGGTTCGTCGTTTGGACGTCAAACGAACGAATTATGAACGAAATACGAATTCCGTTAGTACTCAAAGTACCAGGGACTAAATACGAAATTTTCCAGTCAACTAAAAAGAGGTTGACCCGTCTCTGTGGGAAAATTACAGAGAGCTCCTTTAACTTTTCGATTTACCAGACATGGTACCTTGATTTGACAGATTTTTGCTCAAAGTTCGGAGGCTCGGTTCTCCCTCATCCGACGTCCGAATTCGATTTCGTTGACACCATGACGCTCCTGAGATCGCCCTCTTCGCAACCATACTCACCTTTCA